GAAAACAGGATGATACAATGAGAGGTAAAGGAGATGCTGTGGGATTGGTGGAAGTCAATGTTTGTTTTTCTTTTTAGTGTTTTTATTATTAACTTGTAAGATATGGATTTGGGTTTTTCGTATGCTGGTTTTTGTGTTTTGTTATTTTTTGATATTTTTCATGTTGTTGTTGTGTGGAAAATACTAATAAAAAAAACAAAACCGTTCGAAAACCAAGGTGTGGCTTCCGATTGGCTGCAGGAGCTTCCTGCACTCAAGCGGAAGCCACGGAAGCAGTGTCGGACATTCAGCTTCCGAAAAACATTTGCAAACCGAAAGACTCACTTCTGGGTTTGTGGCATTCGGGAGCCGATTTGCTCAGGAGCCAAGCCGTTTGAGTACCAAGATACCACTGTATAACCCCCCAAGAAATAAGTATGATGTCACTTAACACACACACAAACAAACAAACAAACAAACCAGGAGGTACCTTGTAACACCTTTGTTCTCGTCTGCAGGATCACATTGTGTCCCCTGCCCACTTCCACTATTCTGTTGCATACTGTTGAAATCTCTTTGCTGCTTCCTCAATAGAGAACACTCTGTATTTAGGAACTTAGGAAGCTGTCCAAGATTTCAGCTAGGAATCTTTTCCCAGCCTTACCTGGAGGTGGTGGGGATTGAATCTGGGGCCCCCTGGAAAGTATGTGCTCTGCCACAGAGCTACAGACCTTCCCAAGCAGGGAAGCCATTCACTCTGCATTAACCTGGCACTCCACTGGCTGATATGCCAAGAGAGTTGTTTGTTCTTACGGTTGGAAAAAAAACCCAGAAGATTCCTACAATACGTTGTCAGCCATTCCCACCATTCATCATCAGCTGCATTGTGCGAGAAATCACAGGCTGAGCTTTGCATTGTACCTTGGTGCTCTTAGCTATTGTGGGGTTGAGAAGGACCCTGGGGGTCATTGTCCAATGCAGGAGTCTGGCAGCCACAGCATCCCTGCTGCCTCTGATTAAATGCCTCCACTAAGAACATAAGAACCTGTTGCATTAGACCAATGGCCCATCAAGTCCAGCATCCACTTCTCACAGTGCCCAACTAGATGCTTGTGGGTAAATGCTCAAGCAGGACCCAGGCACAAGAGCATTCTTCTCTCCTGTGGCTTCCAGCATCTGGTATTCGGAAACTTGTTTCTTCTTTGGCAATCACTCGTGGCCAAGTAAGTTTGTATTCCATGTCTTAACAGTGTGTTCACAAGTGACTGCGGAGGCCAATTCTGGATCTGCACATCCTTCCACAATGGGAACATAGGTTTCCAGGTGGGAGTTGATCCCAGTAGGGATTTGCCAAACGTGCCTTCCTCTTAGCTCATTTCTCCCTTTCATTTTGAGTCTGTGCTTTTTGAAAGTCCATGACATCTTTGGTAGAGACTATTCTCCAATTGGAGCACTCACAGGCCAGTGTTTTCCAGTTGTCAGTGTTTATACATTTTTTATATATTTGCCTTGAGAGTGTTTTTAAACCTCTTTTGTTGTCCACAGGCATTACGCTTTCCATTCCCAAGTTGGGAATAGAGCAGTTGCTTTGGAAGATGATAATCAGGCATCCGCACAAGACCATTGTTGTTGTGACAACATTACTGCCTCCACCAGTGGAGTAGAGTCTATCACCTTCTAGGGTAATGGACTCCATAGCTGGTACCATGGTGATCATAAGATAATTATTCTCATATTTAGCCAAAACCTGCTTTTTTGCAATTTCCACGCACCAATCCTAACCTACTCTTTAGGGCTGGGTTGGGGAAGCCTGGTGTATCTATGCAAACATACAGGTTGAGAATAGGTGGAATTTCATGGCAGTAAACATGCCAGCAGATTTCCATTAGCTTCCTAGGTTGAACACCATCATCATCATGATTTCTTGCAACAGGTATGGTGGACTTCAATCAGGGTCCCAATTTGTCTCATAGGGCTGTTTTCCCCAAACCATGCCCCCTTGCCCCACATCCATCATCATATGTGAGGCTTGACAGCAAGGCTTCTAGGATCAGCTGTGTTGTGGGAGTGGTTTAACAATTCAGGGGAACTCTGGAAATTTTAGCTCTGTTGGGGGAATAGGGGTCTCCTAGCACCCCTCAGTGTCCTTAACAAACTATAGATCCCAGAATCCTTTGGGAGAAGCCACATGACTGTTTAAAGTGGTACAGTACTACTTTAAATGTATGGTGTGAACATGTCATGTAGTTGGTTTAAAATAGCATGACCACCCAAAGGAAAATAGGGCTTCAGACCACCCAAAAGGAAATGCCACAAGATGTAACAATGGCCAAAGGCATAAAATCGATGGCTTTAATGACCAGGGTGTGGTGTGAAGGCACATGAGACCACCATGTTGCTGAAACTAAACCGACCTAAGTGTGGTCTGCACCTGGGAACCGTATGCTACCATGGAAGAAAGGTAGGATATAAATGTGAGAAAATAAATCACAGATAAAGGGAGATTAGGTAAATGCATGGGTGAATAGTCTATCCATGGCTACTGGTCACGATAAACAGCGGAGGCTGGTCCATGACGGTAAAAAGGTCCACCAAGGCCACCAGTCCTGGGAGGTGGCTTTTGCTATCTGCTTCTTCCTCCTTAGTCTCGGTTTTGCCATTGTGGAACTTAGTAATGCAGAATGAGTTTTCTTCCCCTGCCATTGTCTCTGGCGCCACCTACTGTTGGCCTCCCTCCCTTACACCCTCCCAGTCCCAATAGGCACCAGCCACCACTGATGGTGGTTATGCATTGCCTCAGGTATCAGAGGCAGAAAACTGACATTGAGAGTGATATCCTGCTGAATACCAGTTGATACAGACAGGGAAATATTTATTGCCTCAGTGCTCTGCTTATTATGGGCTTCCCAAGAGGTGTTTGGTTGGCTACTGTTTGGGACAGGATCCTGCATTAATCCCTCATCTTCTTATGATGATGATGCAGTCCTCCCCATCGCCAGCTCATGCCTTTTCTCCATTGCACATAGATAATCAAAGCCTTCTGGGCATCTCTAACACATCAGCAGCTTTTCTTTTTTGGAGCTTGCTTAGCCAACCCTCCCCAAAGGAATGTCTCTCTTTAGCTCACGCTTTGACTTAAGAGTCTGGTTCCCAGCAGCACCAGACATCACCATCCCATCCGCCATGCGACCTGCAGCTGGAACAAGTTGCAGCTGTAATCTAAGACCTCCAAGTACGGCATTGGAAGGCTGACATGATGCACCCGGGATCAGGAAACAAGTGCAGCCAGTAGGGTAGGGGTGGGGCCTACATTTATCCAGCAAGCCAGATCTTTACCTCCCCCACCTTCCATGAGTCAAGCTTGACAGCTGGGCAGGGCTGCTCGCCAGTCCATCACCTGACACCACAATGGCTCCAGGTGACCCATTTTCACTTGAAACCCTACATGCAAAGGTACAATACAACTGATAATTGGTACCTCTATGCCGTTCACAGAGCTGCATAAATCCTGTTTTTCCCCAAGGGAACTCTGGGGACTGTGGCTCTCTGAAGGAAACAGGTGGTCTCCTAACAAACCTCAGCACCCTTTAAAAGAAAACTCTAGTTCCCAGGAAGAGGGGACTGAAGTGGTATCATAATGCCTTAGATGTATGGTGCAAATGTGATTCACACACACACACACACACACACACACACACACACACGTATGTGGGGGGGGAGGGATGGAAGTGTCAAAAGGAGAGGAAAGTAGGAGGGATAATATAAACAGCCTTGCCAGATGCATTGAGCTCTCCCATCCCACTCAGTAGGTTATGTTTCCTCCTCAGTGGAGACAGTGGAATTGCCTGAGTCAAACCCAGACTGGGCCTGTGTGGGCCAGAGATGTAATTGTTTTGTGCTGATGTGGGGCATTTTTTGAGTACACAGCACCACCTGTATTGCACAGGCCAGACTCGGGTGGTTACTTGTGCATTGTCAAGCAACAAGAGCACAATAGACCAGAGTTTTGCATAAAATGTGCATTTATATATATATCAGTGCAAATTTAGAAAAATTGTAACTTGAAGGCAATATATGACTCCATGGGTTTTTTTGGGGGGTGACCAGGTGAGCTGGCTGCTGGGAGTCTTCTTCATCTGCTGTCTAGGTGTAGGCAACTTCAAGGCACCTGATGGTCTCCCTGATGTCTTTAAAACTCAAAATGGGCAGCCCCTCAAATAGAGGCCATCTTTCCAATTGAAGACTGTCCTTTGATTGACCTTCCAACAGAAGACCATCCTCTGCAGGCAGGGCGCATGGCTAGCCTCAGCCATACGTGCTCTGAACAGGTTTGCTCCAAGCACAGAGCACTGCAGAGTGAGCAGGCAACAGCACATGGGGCAATGACTGACCGAGAAGATCTATAGCTGGCCTGCCATGGTGCAACACAATGAATGGGACTCCCTCTTATAGGCCGGCACAGATGTAATGCCATCTGCCTCTTAACCATGTTTAAGACATCAGAGACAAGCCATAGGATTATGCACACCCTAGTCCTGCCTCCCTGACACCAGCCTTAACCAGGGTTAACATTTATATTAGGACAAGTCTTCACCAGGGTACCTATTGACCTTGGTTCTGCAACTAGCTTCAGAACCCTGGTTTACAATGTCAATATATTCCTCAACCAGTCATGATAAGCAATGGGGATTTGTGCTTGAGCAAAGTCAGCTGGGCAAAGAATGCATACTAATAGGTGGCCTCATTCCCAAACCCTTAACCACGGCGAAGGAATGGCTACCCAGTGCATCTGCTTCATGTGAAGAGTCAGTTCAGCTCACTGGGACCTGCCTTATCTTGCAGCAGGGCATCTTCAGATTTGGGCTCCTTTCTGATTGGCTGTCACTCTTTCCAAGCACTGGATGTTGTTATGCTGCACTAGTATAGCACCAGAAGTATGAAGCTGGAAGACCCCCCCGTCCATTGACCTTGAGGGCTGTGTGTAGCCCTTAGGTTGTGTATTAGAGCACCTGGGCTACTTTCTACACACATTCATATATCCCTCTCCCTCCTCCCACTAGGGAAAAAGCATCACCCAAGTGCAAGGACATTTTCCAGCCAGGCAAATATACATGAGGGAGAACAGGGCTGGTGAGAGGCTTGATGTGGGGGTGTCTCATGGGCCAGACAGAAAGGCTTGGGAGGGGCCCATTCTCCACTGCTGACTTAATAGCATTGGCCACCTGAAGACAACTTTCATTGTCCATCTCTTTCATCTGTACAGTAGGCCAGGAACTTACAGTATTATCTCTCACCCCAAACTCCGCCTCCCTCTCCCCCATCCATTGGTTCTGCCTGGGATTCCATGCCTTGAAAGAGACATCAAAAAGCAAGAGTTCTTAAAGTTTGTTTTAATACTGAGAGTCTTTACTTAGGGACTGTGTCTTGCTGAGAAGCCATAGCGGATACCCTCAGAATTTCCTATGGCTTTAAAAAAAAACCCTGTGCTCTGGGTTAATTGCTTCCAGATCCCAGACGGTGGCCCTACTTGAAGCCCCTCTTATTAGGTTTGTCTTACCGAAAGCCATGTGTTCCCCCAGCCGCCACCACACAGACCCCTTCCAAAAGGGACATTCCACATTTGTTTTTGTTTTAAAATGCTGTCCTTCCTTCCTTGACACAGCTTCTCAGAGCCCCGCTTCTTCATAGGGCCTCTGCCAAACGTGGTCTCCAAAAGAGAGAAGCGATTAGGGGAAGCTGTTGCATTAGTTGCAAGGAGAGGGGCCTAGTGGGTTTAACAAACAACAGCAACAACAACAACAGTGCCGTGTCTTTTTCAGTATGCAAAAACTGGAGGGTTGGGGAAAGGTTAGACTACTGCCAAAACAGCCCCAGAAAAGTTTGAGTAATACTTTACAAATCTGTGAGTTCACCCAGTCTCCAATCTTTTAGCATCCTGAGAAAAATTTATCAAGGGAACAGGTAAACTGGGAACAGGGCTATGTGGATTTCATGCAGTGACTTCCATTGCTGGAGGAAAAGCAAGCTGCTAGTCCCTCATGGCTTTGAAAATGAACTTGGGAAAGTGTGAGCAACCGCGTGGTTACATGTGAGGAGCCAAGAGGGGCGGAGGCCTCTGTTTCCAGGAATTAGGGGAATTATGGGCTTCTCTGTGACTTGTGAAAGCAGAATAAATTATGCTAAACTTCAACTTATCTTGCAAAAACTTAGAACTTTGAAACCCTGGGTTTTTTTGGTCCAAAGTTCTGATCGTGTTTTGAAAAATAATGATAATGCAAGGGAGTATATATACAACACTGCCTGTGACCTACATTGTACCTAGGCTATTAAACTTGCATCTTAGACCAGCCATTGGTTCCTCCAAAGAATTCTGGGAAATGCGGCTCAGGGAAGCTGCTAAGCATTTTCTGTTACAGAGCAGCAGTCGCCCCACTCCTTGAAGCACAGTTTCCAGGGCTCCCTGGAGAGAGGGTAGGGCTGTTTGAACTGGTTTGTGTGCGCAACCATGTCGCCAGGAGGGAATCAACCATGCATGGGGTAGGGCTTACAAAAGCAAGAGCCCAGACACTCAACAGTGGCTCTTAAAGTGCAGTGCAAGGGACCCGCAAGAGGGAGCCGTGGTGATGCAAACAAAGTAAGCCAATCCCTGAAGGAGCCAGCTTGTCAATCGTTCTTCGAAAGCAAAAGGTGAGGGGGAGATAGAAGACAAGCAGAGGGTCAAGGAGGTAACAAGGCCCCCGGACCCTGATAGCTGCTGGCTCTACAAAAAATGGTGTTCCCAGTGCCTAACACAGGGCATAGGAATTTTTATAAATTGGAACTAGGAGTAGTGGATTTGGGAACAGAAAGCGCCACAGGTCCGGGGATGCAGGGGGCAGGAGACAAAGTGGGTGGGGAAGTCAGTCTGGCTCTCTGCTTCACGGCCTCCATGGTCAGGGGTGAGGGGGCTACTCATCACAGCCCAGAAGCTCCACTCGCAAGGTGATGCGGTTGTGCCAGGATTCGGGGAGGATGCGCACAAAGCGGGTGTAGAAGGGAACGTCAAACACATTCTTCTTGTGCGAGTTGTTGTCGTAGTTGCCTTGGAATATCTGTGCCGGTGAAGAGAAAGAAGAACGGTTAGAAAACACAAGAGCGGGAAGGAAGCAGGCCGGCTGACCTCGCAGGGCTGTAAGCAAGGGTTACCCTTTCTTGATTCTTCAGCATTTTAGTGTGAACTTCTCTTTTAATACACACACACACACTTGGCTAATGTACCCTTTGTTGCAAGCAATTTCTCCTGATATAATGCTGCATTCTAAGTTTCTTTTCACTAAAGTATTCATTTTTTCAGGCCCTGAAAAATGTCGGGGAACTGCGTTGCAAATTTCGGATAAGTGCAGATTTTGAAGGGTGGCTGTTTTTTTGGTTCTCATCTTGTCCTGGAGAGTGCAGATTTGATAAGATTTGGCCTTAAATGCAAATGGAATTGAATTTCTCTCCTATTCCTCAGTGAGGATGGGAGTGGTTTCTAAAACACAGAGGATGCAAAATTCCCCAAGACTACCTTGGTGGCGTTTGTCCTGCTATCCTTGTAAAGAGTCCAGGACTTCCCATCATCACTATAGGCCACTTTGTAGGCGGCAACATACTGAATGTGCCCAAAGTCACGAGCTCCTTGCGTAATGATCCCTGTCACCTTCTTCTCGGCCCCAAGATCGATCTGCAGGGAAACAAGGACAATGTTTAATTTGTGAAGATGATGAAGAAAAGAGGGGCCCAGACTCAGGTGAGGCCACCTTCCCTGGAAACCTTTTAACCCCAATGCACAAGTGGTTAACCCATCCAAGGTTGAAAACTCCTCTTAAGACTCAGAAGATGTGCAGAAAAAGCATCCAAACCTGGGGGCAAGTTTGCTTACAACTGAGGGCTCATCCGGACTTCCTTTTGTGCCACGTGTGGGATGTGACATCACTGTAGCAGTCAAATAAAACACTTCCTGTTTGCCCAGAGTGGACACACAGGGAGGTGTTACTCCAGCCAGGAGGACTTCCTGTCCCACCTGATCTGGAGCATCCTCCCCCTGTGTGTGACTAGATAGATGGGCATGACCCTGTGAGACCCTGTAAAAGGGCCAGTCACGCAGCCATCTTCCTCTTTTGCTGCTCTCTTCTGATACTGATGCTTTTGCTGTCTGCTGGCTCTTAGCCAGCAGCACATGGGCTCATTCCCATATGGGATGAACTCAAAAACTCTCTTCTGTAACTACAAGGTAAAGCCTGCCTTCAGGGAACCTACTGTGAACTGAATATGAGTAAACTTCTTATCATTACTTTTAAAGAAGACTTTTGTGTCTTTATTCTTTTTCAGAAGGATAAAAAAGGGAATTTACCAGGAACGAGCCCAATCTGGACAAAGCCAGATTGGATTGCTTAACTCAAGAGATTCAAACGAATCTAGCAACTATGTGCTATGTGAGCGGCACAATTTGGCACTTGTGCACATGCGTGAAGCGCGATTTAGCGCTTCTGCACATGTGCAAGCGGCAAAACCCGGAAGTAACCCTTTCTGGTACTTCCAGGTCGCCATGGGACGCAACCTGAAAAAACATAACATGAAGCAAACGTAACATGAGGTATGACTGTATATACCATCGCTGTACTGTGTATTTTGGGTCTATGGACCGCAATAAAGTGCGCTCTCTCTCTCTCTCTCTCTGTGTGTGCGATTCTTCAGACAGTACTTCTTCATGTGGCATAGTTAAACTGTGCAACTCACTGCTGCAGGAGGCAATGATCGCCATCCAAATGGATGACTTTAAAAGAGGATTGGACAAATTCACGGAGGACAAGTCTATCAATGGCTACTAGCCACGATGGTCATCTTCCAGGCACTGAATATAAGGTGCTGGGAATCATAGGTGAGCAGGATGCTGTTGTGCTCATTCCCAGCTTCCAGGTTTGTTTGAGGAATCCGGTCGGCCACTGTGAGGGCAGAGTGATGAGCTAGATGGGCCACTGGCAGGCTCCTCTTATGCCACACATTCAAGTGCCCAGTCTTCACCCTTGCACTGCCCTTCCACCCCTCCTTCCTGCATAGGAGCAGCAAGGCCTTACCTGAAGCCACTCGTCCTGTTTGTTGCGGAGGGCAGCCCAAGCGTTGCTCTTGCCCGTTCTGTCCAGGCGGGCATAGTGCGGGTGCCAAGTGAATGCGTCGATGCCCCATGTCTTGTAAACGCTGGAGGCTGTGATCTGCTGGTCGCTGATGAAGTGGGATTTCATGCCCAGCGGCTCCGAGCAACCTGCCATGTTGAAATACACTGTAACACAACAGTTTACACAGACACAGTGAAAGGGAAGAGACCGGAAGCAACAGATGCTCAGAAGAAAACAAAATTAAGCACCATCAGACAGACAGAAACACACACACACATCTTCCCCAAAGCAGCAGCTTTCAAAACTTTCCATGCTGACCCATCGGCCTAGATCCCCCATGTATAAACATGCCTGCCACAGAAACTCCCATGTGTTGCGAAGATTCTGGGGAAGGTTCTAAGGCAGAATTCTGCAACGTGCATCCCTGTGCTCTGAACATCAGCAGTGGTGAAGTGCTGATGGATGCTTCGAACCAACTTGTCCACCATTAGGGATCTCACTAAAAGCAAGTCTTGCAGCTTCATGGAAACTGTTTTAAAAACAAGGAACCAAAGCACAGATGGAAACACAAAGGCAAGGGGGACGGGAGTAAGCCAACCCAAAAGATGGAATCCCAATGATGTCCACAAACATTTACAAGTCACTTTGAGGGTGCAAGAGCTGGGCATCTAACATGTAATCTTTCAAGTGTTGCTGGATGACACCTCCTGTGGCCCCAATGGTCAGGGAATGATAGGAGCTGCAGTCCAGGAATATCTAGAGCATCAAAGGTTAGCCACCCTGGTTTTTACCCAATAATGGTGTAATTCCATTCCAATTTCACCAGTGGATATTCCTCAATAATTATCCTTCAGATTTCCCACTTCTCTGAATTCTGTGAGACGCTTCTCACAACACATACCCAAATGCTGTTCTAGGATAAAATATTTGAGATGCATACTGAGAGCAAAGATATTTACTTGGTGTTTTGTGATTAAGTGATAATTTTTTTAAGTACATATTTTTTAAGTCATGGGTTAATGCGGAGGGTGGGAAGAGCTGTGGCTCATTGTTAAGAACATCTGCATTGCATGCAAAAGGTTCCACATTCAATCTCTGGCATGTCCAGGAAGGACTCAGAAAGACCCAGGAGAGGTATTGCTGATCTGTGCGGGCAATACAGAGTTTGGTCATCCTCCACCAACATTTCAGCTGTAAGGTCCTCAGGGCAGGAGCCAGTCTGGTTTTCGTGACACTGCTCAGCAAAGCACCAAGCAAATTTACAATGCTACAACAGAGCTGTGACAGTAAGAAGCAGGAAAAACAGTCAGCTGGTCTATAATTCTGAGCACCACCAGAGGGTGTCACTGTACACTCGTACCTTGGTTTTCGAACAGAATGCCTTCCAGGAGCCCGTTTGACTCCCAGAACCATTTGAAAACCAAGGTACGGCTTCTGATTGGCTGCAAGATCATCCTGCAGCCAATCGGAAGACATGCTGGACGTTCGGCTTCCAAAAAGCGTTAGAAAACCAGAACACACATTTCTGGTTTTCGATCGTTCAGGAGCCGAAACGTACGAGTACCAAGGCATTCAGTAACCAAGGTACGATTGTAATTATGGATGAGGAGGAGGAAGAAACAGAAAGAGCCCCAAAGTCTGGATGTGGGCAGTGGTGCAAGTCGAGCCATTTTAGACTTTGGGCTTCCGCCTGCCACTTGAAAATGCTAATATGCGTTACTTCACCTATTCTGGAAACGCGTTAAGCCATATTCCCAAAAGTGAAAATCCAAACAAAGTTGTTGGAGGGCGGGCGAAGTTGATGACCTTTCTCTGGGAACATGTCCCAAAAAAAAAGAGTTTTGGAGCTTTTGGGGGATTTTTAAAGGAATTTTTCTTTAAAAATCGCACCAGTTGCCATACATCCGGGTTTTCTTATATATACACATTTTTATCGGGGTTTTTTACATATCATTTCCAACATTCATTTAACATAACTTCTTATCTTATACAATATTTTAGACTTCCGTCAACACCTCTGATGATTTTCCATTCTCTATCACTTATTCTGCATTTCTTAATTTCTCTATTACTCTTAATTATCATTAACTAATAATTCTCCTCATAGTCTTTCTTGCAATATTTCAAATAGTCCTCCTTACAGAACTTCTTGCAGTCCTACTAGCGTAATCTCATACATCCGGGTTTTCCAGGACATTTTGCCGATTTGGTAAAAATCTACCCAGACGCCATTTTGACAGTCCAATTCCCGAACGTATGACAGCCCTAGTTAAGCCCACCCTCCTGGACTGGGGAGCCCACCTGTTCAGTCTATTGTGGGGACCCCGGGCGTTTGCCCATAAGTCCCGCCCTGACAGCACCACTGTAATAGGGAGGCCTCCTGGCCTGGACAACAGGACCCAACAACCAAGACTCCATCACTGTTAGGGAAGCCAAAGAAAGCCTAGTCCTACCAGGCCAGTCCTCACCAAGTGGCCGCTTCCAAGATCAAACTGGAAATGACTATTCTGAGCAAAGCCCAACGGTGGAGATCCTTGTGGTTGGAAGGGACCACAAGGATCACCTGGTCCAACCCCCTGCAACACAGGAATATTTTTGCTCAACACGGGACTCAAACCCACAACCCTGAGATTAAGAGTCTCATGCTCTACCAACTGAGCTATCCCAGAGAGAGTTTGTTCCATAAAGAGGAGACAGAACAATGCATCAAACCCCAGCCAGGCAGATGCATATTTAAAGTTCAGAAGTGAGGACTGCGTATCAAGTCTAGTCTTTTCTTAGCTTCCCAGCAGCTTGGAGAAAGATTCTCAGTTCCCCTCTCCGTGGCCCAAACAAAGCCAGATTAAAAATATGATGCAAACAGCAAGAAATCATGCAAAAACAGGCCTTTTTAAAGTGCAAAATCTGGGCTGCCTCTGCACAGAAATGTTAAAAACGTTTCTTTACAGAGCAGACAGAGCTGGCAATTATCCACAGTACCCAAGTGGCCAATCTGAGAGTCCCAGTTTTCACAGTTAAGTGCCAACAGATTTTGGAAATCAGAGGTCAGCAAAGGCAACTGCTTCAACCCTGAGGAATTCCCCCAGGGCAATTTGGGTGACCTGCTATGGGGACGGGGGTGAAATTCAATTCGGTTCACATTTTAATGTGAGCATACCTGGTTTGCCTTTTCCAAAGCAACATGCAAACCAAACATACAGCTATCCTTGGAAAGTTTGCATTTTTCCAAATTTTGAAATGCAGTTCTCCACAGACAAGTAACGTAGGCAAAACATACATATGTCAGGTTAAAGGATGAAAATATATTAGTGAAAATAACATACCAAAATGCATTGTATTAGAAGAGATGGCTTTGCAAAAATGTACATATTGGGGGAAATTCACAATGAAAAGCCAATGAATTTTCATGAGGACCTTTTCTTTTTAAAAAACAAAGTTCACAAAGCGATGTGCAAATGTGGAGAACTGAACTTAGAACTGGAAAAATGAGAAAGTGAGAGAAAGCAACATTGACCTATACCCCCATCCCTAGACCTACATCAACATTTTGGCTTACCCAAACCAGATTAAGGAAAAAGAATTCCAACATGGAGGCAAGGACGGTGAAGTCAAATTCTCCAGTTTGCTGCTGCCCTCTGATTGTCCATGCAAGAAAGTCCACCACCACCAAGACATTTAGGCCACATTCGCACCATGCGTTTAAAGTACTCTGTGACTACTCGAAACAGTCACAGCTTCCCTCAAAGAATTTTGGGAGCTGTGGTTTGTTGTGGGTGCTGATTTATTTGGGGACCCCTATTCCCCTCACAGAGCTACGATTCCCATAATTCCCTGGGAAGAGGGGCTGGCTGTTAAACCACTCCTGGTTCCCAAAATCCTTTGGGGAAAGCCATGAGTGGCATTGCAGTGCTTTAAACGTACGGTGCCAGTGGCCTTAGACCAATGGGAAGCATTTACCATTCATTTCGCAGCCGACCAGCTCGAAGCGCAGAGTGCAGGCTCTACGGCAGATCACAGGGTAGATGCGGAGGTACTGGGCTGTTACCGGAGGATTGAAGAGGTTGGTCACCGTATCTTCATAGTCTGAGTTGCCAGTGTAAACCTGCCAGGAGAGAGGGCAACGGTGAAAGGATGAGACCTTAGGAACAGAGTTGATGGTCTAGAGCAGGGATAGTCAACCTTCTCATAGCTACCACCCACTAATGCATCTTTCTTGATGGTAAAATTTCCTTACCACCCACCAGTGCTCGATGGAAGGAGGATTCCGCTTGTGACGTAGAACCCCCTACCGCCAACCTAGAATCCTGAAATGCCCACTAGTGGGTGGTAGGGACCAGGATGATAACCCCTGGTCTAGAGTCACATCTGCTCTCTAAAGGGGACATCTTCTTAGGCAGCTACTTCGAAGAGGCAGCATGGCAGAATGGTTAGAATGCTGGCACTTTTTGACAGAGATCATGAGCGCAAATCCAGCTCTCACTTCTAACAAGTTTGTTGCGATTATAAACGTGTGGTGACCTGCATCTATGCAAACTATCCTGAACTCAATGGAGGAAAGTTGAAATAGCAAGAGAAAATCTGTAGCTCAGTGGCATTGGCCTTACACGCAGATGGTGTTGCCAGTTGGTGCAGAAAATACAGAGCTAGATGTATCAAGGGATGCAGGTGACACTGTGGTCTAAACCACTGAGCCTCTTGGGCTTGCCAATCGTAAGGTCAGCGGTTCAAATCCCCGCAACAGGATGAGCTCCCATTGCTCTGCCCCAGCTCCTGCCAACCTAGCAGTTTGAAAGCACACCAGCAGAAGTAGATAAATAGGTACCACTGCGACAGGAAGTTAAACGGTATTTCCATGCATTCTGGTTTCCATCACGGTGTTCCATTGCACCGGAAGCAGTTTAGTCATGCTGGCCACATGACCCGGAAACCTGTCTGTGGACAAACGCAGACTCCCTTGTCCTGAAAGCAAGATGAGCGCTGCAACCCCATAGTCGCCTTTGACTGGACTTAACTGTCCATGGGTCCTTTACCTTTACCTTTAGATGTGTCAATGGTCCGACTCAGTTTAAGGCAGCTCCCTATGTTCTTTCTACTTCTACTATAGAGGAGTTTGGAGCTTGCAGGAATAACAGAGAGAGCCAATATATAGGAGAAGGAAAACTCTGGTCCTAAACCTCTGTTGTCTTGCAGGATACCAACTCAAACAGTTCTGCTAGCTCATGAAACAAACTTGCTGTAAGTATAATCAGAACAGCTTAAACCAGCTATTTAATTGGGGTGAGGTGGGGGTTGTTCGTGTGCTGGGACCCCCCCTTACACCAACTCCCCCCCCCCTTTCATGCAGAAGCTAAATCAACTCTTATGTACCTTTATCAGGCTTCCACTGGGACAAGAGAAAACGTTTACGGTGGGGTGGGGAAGGGTGGGTCTGAGGAATGGCTACTATGCAATGTGTTTCCGATTATCGCGCTTAGGGGGGCTTTGTCGGTGCTTGCAGAAAAACTCAAAGAACTTCTGGACTTCCAAATATTCAGCATAGCTTCCTCAACACCTGCATGGGGACAAGTAAGGACCCAGCAGGCTCAGCACAGTGAATTAAGCATCATTAGTATTCTCTGAGAAGAGCTAAAATGTTTCTTCTTCCATGGCTGGGAGAGGCTGGAATTGCACCAATCTAAAGGAAACAGGGAGGGCAGGGCAGCAGAGCCCTCAAGGCAAACCTGCCAATTTCAGTTTGTCTCAGGTTTTTGTTTTTATTTTCTCAAATCTTAAATTCAGTTCTCCACCTTAGTTTGCAAAAGGCAATTTTTAAGTCCTCATGGAAAATTTCTTGCCGCTCATAAGATTCTTTGCAACACCATTTGACAAGCTCAGATATGTTTCAATCACAGTGGATTCTTCTATGATTGCAACTAAAAATGTATGCTGTCCTCAAAACTGTTCCTTTTTTGTAGCAAAAGGTGATGCGCTTCAATGGAAAAGACGGCCGGTGGCAGAGAGGAAGCCCATTTTTTTCTAAGCAAGGCATTTGTACAATGCACTGCCCATCTCGCAAGGCCCTCCTACAGTCCAGCTTATGAACCCAGGCCATTTTTTGTATGCAATTTTGCCTAACATAGATACTAATGCATCCGATGCTAGTCATGGTAAGAGCACTTTTTTGAAATCAAAAGGGCATTACTAACCTAGGTCCATTCATTTCAATGGGTCTACTCGGAGTACGGCTAGCATGGGAGTCACCCCACTGTTTTTAGTTAACTAAAAGTAAGTAAAATACACATGCTAAATTTAATCATTCTCTAGGGCAAGAGTTTGGAGGGGGGTTAGGCTGAGGGCCAGATCCCCTCATGGACAACCTTCTGGAATCCACATACGGGGGGGGAAATGGAGATGGGTCGGAGGGGGGGAAATGGGCAAGGAAACTGATGTGTCCTTTGTACATCAGGAGTTCTGTGGGAAATTCAAGCAACTGCCACTCTGCGCCAATCAAAATCCCAGTTTTGTGGGTCATGGGGCAGGCATCAGCATCCGAAGCAACTACAAAAAGCAACTGCGGGATGGTGCCAAGCCTAACAACAAAGGCGCTGTTTTAGTGGCCTACCTTGGGAGGCTGCTGTTAAGAAAAACAAGGTAATGTATTTTATAAAGCACTTCAGCATCGTTCAGGGGTACAGGTGGCGCTGTGGTCTAAACCACTGAGCCTCTTGGGCTTGCCGATTGGAAGGTCGGCGGTTTGAATGCCTGCAACAGAGTGAGCTCCCGTTGCTCTGTCCCAGCTTCTGCCAACCTAGCAGTTCGAAAGCACACCCATGCAAGTAGATAAATAGGTATCACTGCAACGGGAAGTTAAACGGTATTTCCATGCATTCTGGTTTCCATCACGGTGTTCCATTGCACCGGAAGCAGTTTAGTCATGCTGGCCACATGACCCGAAAATCTGGCTCCCTCAGCCTGAAAGCGAGATGAGTGCCGCAACCCCATAGTCACTTTTGACTGGACTTAACCATCCAGGGGTCCTTTACCGTTACCATCTTACCATCCACTTTTTTTATTATTCTCCACCTCTCAGGCACAGCTGCAGCACCTGCCCCATTTGCTCACCTTGTCATGATCTTGCTCCTCATCCTTAATGTACACAAACTCGCGCCCGTCAAGGCTGTAGGCTACTTTGTAGGCCCGGACATATTCCAGGCGGCCTACGCGGCGTGCACCTTGCGTGGCAAGGCCGGAGATCCTCATCTTCCTCATCAGGTTGACCTGGGGTGAGGAAAAGCAGGCAGAAACTGGATAAACATCTCTGTATGTGTGTGTGTTTGTGTGACTCAACACTAATCAGATGTTTTGTGTGTGGCTTATTTGCCCAACAGCATGCTGGGAGTCACAAAAACAAGCACAGCACATTGAAGCACCCATTTCTATTTTTACCCCCACCCATATCTATTTATTTAATTTATATCCATTTATATCCCTCCCTCCCAAAGGAGCCTTAAAACATCAGCCTTAAAAACAATGAAAGCAACACAATCCAAGCTATGCTTATTAGACTTATTGGTCACTTGTAACCTAAGAAGGTATCAAAGCAACTTGCATTAAAATACATTACACCATAAAAAGGAAGTCGCATTAATGTTTCTATAATTCAAACAAGCTGCCTCAACAGTAACAGCACATTCACCATTATTACATAATCGACTCCGTCTATCAAAGGCCTGTTTCCATCTGGCCCTCCCAGTTTGAGCGAATGCTCCTTGCTTAGTTTTTGGCCTCCCACATTTCGAAGCCCACCATTACCTGAATCCAAGGGCTCCTGTCATAGTTACTGGAGGTCCAGGCATTCACAATCCCCTTGTTGTTGAGGCGGGCGAGCTCTGGACCCCAGCGCTGCAGGCCAAGGAACCCATAGTGCACTGAAGAGGCGGCAAGCTGTGTGTTCGAAATGGCTCCTGATTCCATGCCGAGCAAATTTGAACATCCTGGAGGGGGTCACCAAGACCATAGGGAGGAGGGCAGGGAAAGAGGGAGAAAAGAAGAAACTGAAACCATCGCATATTGCTTCCCTGTTAATACCTGCCTCCACTTCCCTCCCCAGCTTCTTCCCCTGTGTCAGCTTTTCGACTGTAAACTCCTTGGGGCAGGAACCTGCCTCTTGCACTCTGCAAAACAACACACACACACAAACAGCGAGAGAGAGTTGGCACCCTGCAAACAACAACAACAACACACAGAACTGCCACATCAAAAGAGTAGGAGAGCATCAGACTTTTTGGCTGTGAAGTATTTATCAGTCTATATGAAGCAAAGTGAGACTTCAAAGTCTCAAGCAGAGACTGTTCTGTGCTTTTATAGAATTTTATTCAGATCTGCACGCACTCAATTCATTCCATACCGTGTTATTTTATTTTAACATTTGTTAAACAAGAAGAACATCCCCTCCCTTTTTAAGAAGCATGTTGCAACCTGCCAGGGAAACATGGCATTATAAGTTTGTTTATGATGTTGCCTTGTGTTACTTTTCATATGGTTCAAACTTTGGTCCTTGGGATGGCTGGATAGCTATATACAAATAAATGTATATAATTTAATCTCGCACACATACTGTCAGGGAACTGACATCGGAGCTAGAAGCGGAGGGAAGGCTCTCAAATGATGCTGGAGAAGGGCCCAGCAGGGAGAGAGGCAGCTCCGCAGATGGGGAAGCAAATCAGCGCAACACCAGGGATAAAGAGGGGCTGATGGGGGAATCGGCGAGAGGGCTCCAGGACTCTTCACCGGACACCAGCGGGGAGAGCACGGGTCCTCCGCTACCCACGCCCACCCTGCGCAGAAGACTTCCGCGCAGAGAGAGTAGGAGGAGACTGGGTGTCAAACAACTTTTATGTTGGAAAAGATTTAAGAAACACCCACTGACGGATTCTGCTAGCGACTGAGGCAGCCACGAAGGGAAGGGCTGCCCAGACTGAAAGGTTTAGCAAGGCAACAAAGCCTGGAGAGGCGGCAACTTACGCACGAGCAACCCATACACATTACAGCAATCCGTCAGTCCCTGACGTCGCTCGTGCACAGCGACTGGCAGGCAGCATCATGAGCAAAACTGGAGAAGCTGGCGCCACGGAGGGAGCAGCTGGAGGGCAAAATCTGGTGGAGAGGAACCGAGATTTGGAACAGCATGTGGCTCTGCTGACGGCGCGGCTGGACGAAAGGCGGTCTCAGGATGCTCAGGTCAGACCCACCCCCGTAGCAAGGAAGGTACCGGGACTGGTACACAAGTTTGGAGGGAAACCCCAGGACTACAGTGCGTTCCGAACGGAAATAGAGTACGCTTTGGAACTGCAACAGAATGATTTTGCAGACGATGGGGAAAGGGTTGCCTATATTGTCGGACATCTGCAGGATGGGGCCAGAGATTGGATCAGGCCCCTAATGGCAACGCAGAATGCCGCCTTGAAAGACCTGAGGAAATTCTTCCAGGCGATGGATGCAATGTATTCCAGTGATGTACAGCAAAGTGTGAATCGGCGGGAACTGATGGGTTGCAAACAGAGGAACCAGTCAGTTAGAGACTACTGGTCACGCTTTGCCATGTTAGTCCACCGGCTCGGGTGGGATTTGGACTCTGAACCTATTCAAATGCTGTTCGAGGAGGGGTTGTCCCCAACGGTGAAGGACGAGCTTTCCCGCGCACCCCGCCCGCAGTCGATGGATCAGCTGACCAAGGCTGTGCTTGCGATTGGTGTAAGGCAGGAAGCGCGGGCCCAGGAGAAGCGGGAAGGGAGAGAGCAACGTTACCATGACTACCGCATTCCTGAAATACCAAGGCAGCCTTCCCCGCAGGCGGAGCCCATGGAAATAGATGGGGCGCGCGCGGGGGAGATTTCAAACTCCAGTGAAAGTCGCAAGAGAGAGGGAAAGGATGGGAAAACCACCAAGAAGTGTTTTCTCTGCCAGCGGCCAGGACATTTTGCCAGGGTCTGCCCGCAAAGAAAGGCCTGGCAAGGGATGGTGGGAGCTGCAGGGGGTGAGGAGGAGATGGTAAAGGAGCAGGGAAACGCCAACGCTTGGCTGCCACTCAGCGGGCACAGCAGCCAGGCCAGCAACCAATAGAAGTGCCCAAACCAGACTCCCCAGGGCGGCTATAGCCATAGAAGTGGTGCTAGAACTCCCAAATGGGCACCCAGTCAAGGTGAAAGGGCTGTTGGATTCAGGCAGTTCCTGCAATTTCTTCAGCAAGGACTTTGCACTAGAGCACCAGCTCCACCTGCTGCCCCTGGATTTCCCCTTGCAAGTAACCACCATTGATGGCAGGGAGCTTCTGGGAGGGGAAGTGACGCACCAGACCCCACCAATGAGAATGAGGGTTTCCAGGCACACGGAGACTATCGCCTTTCACATAGCCTCACTGGCAGGGCCCCCAATAATATTAGGGATGAGCTGGCTAGCACATGATCCAGTGGTGGCATGGCATCAGAGAACGGTCACCTTTGGGTCCGCTTACTGCTTGGAACACTGTCTAGGGGGAGAAACCCCAAGGATGACCCTGGCCAGGGTGGCTGGGATAGCTGTGGAGCCGAAAGGGGAGGTGCCACCACAATATGCTGACCTGCAGGAGGTCTTCAGCGAGGAGGCAGATAGACTACCCCCACATAGGCCCTTTGACTGCCAAATCAACTTGCTCCCTGGGGCGCAGCTACCGGTGGGTAAACTGTATGCCATGTCGGACAGGGAGATGAAGGAGTTGCGGGAGTTTATTGACAAGAACCTGAAGAGGGGGTTCATAAGGGAATCAAAGGCGGTGGGGGGCAGTCCGGTGTTCTTTGTGGACAAAAAAGGAATGCTGTTCTCAAGCCAATGGCCCCTGCTATCTACTTCTAGCAAAGAAGTCCTCAAGGAGATGGGAGGGGAAATATCTTTGTGGGGTTATTCAGAATAATGTGTTTTTCTAGTTCTTATCTCCCTTCAAGTGTCTAATTTGTTTATGCAATAAAAGTGTCACCAAGAAGCAGAACATCATGAAAATAAGTCCTAGAGGAGCTTTTGGGGGACTGAGACTCTCAATCACTTCGTGCTTAAATTAAGTTAAGCAGAGAAGACAATTACATGTTAATTACCTCTGACGTGTAAATGTGAGGGAAGTTCACGAGAACTGGGCAGGCATAGCTTGAGCGGGAACCCAAGTTTAAAAGAGAGTAAGGAACGGTGGCGAACACTCAAGAGGCTTTCTTGTAGGGATGGTTGAATCTATAAATGTCATTTTGTCCTTTTTCCCAGTCTTGCAATCTTCCCCTCTCCCCCCAAAAATGCATTTCTCCCAATATACATTTCTGAAAGCACTTTTGCTTCATATGCATTTTGCAAGCCGTTTCCCCCTACATGTAGAATTTGCATGCATTATTTTCTCTAATACAGACGCATTTTTGTGTACACATTTCCCCCCAAAGTACACATTCTTGCGCATACGCTTTGGTTGGAAAAGTGAAGAAGTGAACATTGCCAAGGATAGCTGCATTTTGGTTCCTGCACTGATCTGGAAAGGGCAAATCAGTCAGAAGAATTCGTCTTTCATTCTACTGCATAGTGCTAGTGTAGGGCATTGCACAGGTAGGTCATTTGTGTGTGTGTGTGTGTGTGTGTGTGTGTCTACACACACACATATATATAAAATATTTATTTCTTTTTATTTGCATTGCAAGAGATTAGAGCTTAGTTGGAAGCCATGACTGCTTCACAATGCAGAGGGCACCTTAGCTCACTATTGGCTTATAGAATTTTGCAAGATTTCTGCATGTATACAGGTGGTAACACTCAATGCAGAAACTGGGTTATCCATGGGCAGAATTTTATTTTGCGTATACACAATCTTCTATATATTTCTGAATACAAGATGCTGGCGTAATTGTTTTTTTTAAATAAAAAAAAAACACAGACTAGGAGCAGGCTCAAATCCCATCCCAGCCATGAAGCTCTCTGAGCCACTTGGAGTCTTCTCAGCCTAACATACCTCACAGAATAAACTCAAGGGTGGGAAGATAATCAGTGCATGTTGCCTTGAGCTCTTTGAACAGATATCAGTGTAAGCAAATAAACTTCAGTTCATCAACCTGTTTGAAAGCTTCCCCAGGGTCTTCCAGCCGCTAGTTTTCAGAAGCAGACTATTGGGCTGGATCACAAATGGGAGACACCCACCCCCGATCTTGATGGATCCCAACTCTCAACAGCCCAACCAGCACGGCCAATGGTCATGGATGTTGCAAGTTCTAGTCCAACAACATTTGCAGGACCAATGATTCACCAGCTGTGCTCTAAACGGATCTTGGTCATTTCATCACTACCACCCTCCACACCCGTCACGGAGCAGGAACTTACGGAGTTGGCAGGATTTCCCCAGGTAGGGTGGCATGCACTTGCAGGCATAGTCCCCACTGAGATCCAAGCAGGTTCCTCCATTCTTACAGGGCTGCGAAGAGCATTCGTTCATGTCTACAGCCAAAAGGAAAGAAGAATTGAGTTGCTCGCTCCCAATGCAGCCAAATCAGGACCCCCGTTTGACTAAATACCCAGGCATTGGGTGGCTGAATAATATTGTTCCTGGCAACCTCAAGATTGCTGAATGGAAGCATGTTCCAATTTGTAATTGCTGCTAGAATGTTTTGGTCTGTTTTAGAATTGGCTTGATGTGTTTTTCTCTTGTATATTTATTTGCTTCCCTGCCCTCCTTGGGGCAGGAAATAAACTCTATAAATGAAAAGAAAACCATAAAAGAAAGCTTTGTTGCATTTGTCAGCCATGTCTTAAGACTGCAAATCTCTGAAGGTCATTTGTGGCCAAACAGAAGATAAGGCAGGGAACCACTGTACTTTTCCTATCTTCGATGCTACTTTTAGTTGCCAAAAGACAGATAAATTTTCTTTGATGAACAGCTGTAACAGTTACCGGCTGAAACTGAATCTGCCGTCAACAACAGACTCGCAGAGAAGAGTACGGAGTATGAACAGCGAGTATAGTGCACTGGTTAGAATGTCAGGCTAGGACTTGCAGGACCAGGGTTCAAATCCCCACTCTGCCAGGAAGCTAACTAGGTGAGCTTGAGCCACAGTCACAACATCTCACCCTTCGTTGCCTCTCAGGGTTGTTGTGAGGGTGAAATGGGGAAAGAGAAGGGACAGAATTGCCACACACAGGAAGAACAAGGATATAGTTTGAGTGCCTCACTTGTACGTCTATAAATCATTTATTGGTCAACACAAATAGAAGTTATTAATACTGCAACTGTTGTATAAGGGATTTTTATTTTGACCGGAATGTAATTGAAATTAATAAGATTTTGGAATGCAGAAATAAAGAGGAAAAGGGAGATATAAATGTAAAATCTGGCCTACTATAAACATGGATGTAATTGCAAGAGGTGGTTGTTGCCCTGCTTGGGGGCATTCCTAGAGGCACATAGCTACAACTACTGGAAACAGGGTACCAGACTGATGGGACATTTGCTCCAAGCCAGCGCGAGCTGCTCTTCCGTTTGCAGCTGCAACTTTCCCAAAGACACATCTCACACTCACTGTTTTCGCAGTGTTTGCCTTCATAGCCCGAAGGGCACTTGCAAAGGTATTCGGTGAAGACGTCACCCCTGTTGGGAACCACCTGGCACTCACCCCCATTCTGGCAGGGGTTTGGGTGGCAGGCACCTGAAAACAAGAGGTGCAGGAGGAGAAATTAGATGCAAACAAGAACATCTCACAGCCCCTGCTAGATTTAACTATGCAAGAGAAGGTCGACAAACCACTACCTGCCAGAGTTATCAGCGCCCAAAACACACATGCGATTTCATTAGAAATCTGGTTGGCCGCTGTTAGAACAGGGTGCTGGACTAGATGAGCCACTAGCTTGATCCAGCAAGACATTCCTTATGTTCTAAAGAAATCATGTGCAGTGCAAGACGAATGCCTCGCAAGACGAAAAACTCGCAAGACGAAAGAGTTTTTCGTTTCTTGAGTTGCTTCGCAAGACAAATTTCCCTATGGGCTTGCTTCGCAAGACGAAAACGTCTTGCAAGTTTGTTTCCTTTTGGATTTTCAATGCATTCCTATGGGAAACCGTGCTTCGCAAGATGAAAAATTCACAAGACGAAAAAACTCGCAGAACGAATTAATTTCGTCTTGCAAGGCACCACTGTATGTCAGAGCAGCTGATGGTTTGCAAATGGCAATCGGGATGTGAATATCCTTTCCCAACAAATGAGATGTGCATGTCATTAGCACTGCAAAATATATTCTGAAGTGCAATGGAATAACAATAGCATAATTAGCAGGACTGATGTGCTTGCACTTATTTTAACTCCGCCATTGTTGCAGTAAGCATTTGGGGTCCCAAGGTGGAGAGATTTTGAGACCACTGCAGAACTTGTGTCAGGAGTCAGATCAGTCCCTTGTCCAATGCCCTATCTACTGTATTTTTCGCTCTATAAGATGCACTTTTCCCCTCCTAAATAGGGGAAATGTGTGTGTCTTATGGAGCAAATGCAGGCTGCGCAGCTATCGCTGAAGCCAGAATAGCAAGAGCGCAGCAATCCCTCTTGCTCTCCTGGCTTCAGGGATAGCCACACAAAGGCTCTTGAGCGCAGCGGGAGCACTCCTGCCTCTTCGCTCAAGAGGCTTTGCACTGCTTTCTTGTTTCTTGTTTCCCTCCTCTAAAAACTAGGTGTGTCTTATAGAGCGAAGAATAAGGTATTCTGCGGTTTAGTCATGCTGGCCACCATGACCTGGAAAGCTGTCTGCGGACAAACACCAGCTCCCTTAGCCTGAAAGCCACAACCCCATAGTCGCCTTTGACAGGACTTCACCATGCAGGGGTCCTTTTACCTTTTTTACCTATCCTGCATTTTCCTCTCTGGGCTCCTCCAAGCAACTTCACTATTGAGCATTCATCCTGAGTTGGTTTTACTCTTTTTAGAGCTTGTGTTGTATTCCATTTTCATTATGCACATCGTTTTGACGGCTTAATGGTAGCCTATAAATTTGTATTAATAATCATCATAAACCATCCTCTGCTTGCTTAAGTTCTAACGATAAACCCCGTGCTCCGAACACCACATTTACCTTTCTCGGTTTCATTGCAATCAATCCCAGTAAAGCCTTCTGCACAGATACAGAAGAAAGGAGATTCGGTGATGCCGGTCAGGCAAGTTCCTCCGTTCTGACACTTGTTCTCTTCACAGAAGTCACCTGGAAAACCAAGGGAGTGAATCAGTGCAAGGCAGCAGCTTTGTAGTGAAGGTCCCCCTTCCCCACCGCTTCTGAATCATAAATACCAACGGGGGTCAGGATGCTGATTTGTATGAGGTTCCCATTTCCAACTGTGTCCAGGAGTGGGGGAGGGGTCACAGAAAACATACAGTGGTACCTTGGGTTACATACGCTTCAGGTTACATACGCTTCAGGTTACAGACTCCGCTAACCCAGAAATAGTGCTTCAGGTTCAGAACTTTGCTTCAGGATGAGAACAGAAATCGTGCTCCGGCGGCGCAGCAGCAGCAGGAGGCCCCATTAGCTAAAGTGGTACCTCAGGTTAAGAACAATTTCAGGTTAAGAACAGACCTCCAGAACGAATTAAGTACTTAACCCGAGGTACCACTGTATTTTGAGAGGGGCCACAGCTCAGTGGTACAGCATGTGCTATGAAATAGAACAAAAACAATCCCCAGAAACCATTTTTATCCTGCCTGTTTTTCTAGGGATTATTAAAGGGGGGAGGCATCCTCACAAGTGTCGGGAACCTTTGGGCATCCAGACGCAGCTGAACTACAACTCCCATCAGGCACGCCAACATCTAGGGGCTGAAGTAGTTCTGTGGGGGCCATTTTTTTTAGGGGGGAGGGCCCTTTCAATGTTCAGAGGGAGTTTGGCTCATCGCAGCATCACGTTGGGCCCCCTCAGTCGTCTTGAGAAGATGGCGCCTCTGACTCCCATCATCTTTGGCAACTGGCAATGCTTGCTGGGGCTGATAGGAGTTCAGCAACAAGTAGAACCCTGGTCCGACTGCACGGGCTACCAATTAGTTTCCGGGCCCAATTCAAAGTGCTGGTTTTGACCTATAAAGCCTTAAACGGCTCAGGACTGCAATACCTCAAGGACCACCTCTTCCCATTTGACCCTACCCGGTGTCCCCGAGGTCCTCCTTCGTGTGACCCCCCCCCCATGAAAGGTTCGGAGGGTGGCAACACGAAAACGGGCCTTCTCTGCAGTGGCTCCCCATCTGTGGAATGCTCTCCCCAAGGAAGTTCACCTGGCAGCTTCATTATACACCTTTAGGCGCCAGGCAAAAATGTTCCTTTTTAACCAGGCCTTTTGATTGCTCTGATTGACATCCTATGCCCTTTTAAAAAGTGGCTCTTTGGGGGGGGGGCATTATTGGGTTGTTCTTTTTATTCTGATTATGTAAGTTGTGGTTTTTATGTTTATCTTTTCTCTGAACCGCCCTGAGACTTCCGGGTATGGGGTAGTATATAAATTCAATAAAATAACAGCAACAATAACAATAACTAGGTCAAATGTTTCCCACACCTGGTGTAGCAGCAAATTCCATAGTTAACTATGCGCTCTGTGGAGAAGTACTTGTGCATACTTAAGTACATTAGAATAGCCTGCTGAATTAGGCCCATCTATTCCAGCATCCTGTTTTCACAGAGGCCAAACAGATGCCTAGGGAAGCTATGTCGAAGCACTGGCTGGCTTCAGAGTTTTTCATGCATCGTGATTTTTGCACAGCACACACACGCACATGATGATTCGCAACATATTGCCAGGTCAAAAATTATGAAACCAGTATCACAATATGGATTTCAAACCGGTTTTGGGCGATGTATTGATATATTGCCTAGCTCTAGTCATCATTGTGATAGGAATTTTATGGTCTTAGATATATGGTAATGTTCATAAGCGTACCAATCAAGCACGTACATAGATCAGCACAGGAAGACCAACCTGGAACCATTTTGATTCCTAAACTGAGCAAATGTTTTCTCTGCACGGTCATCTCCGCCAAGCTAAGCAGTTGGCCCCTTATCTCTCTCGCCCTGACCTAGCCACTGTGATCCATGCGACGGTCACCTCCAGACTGGATTATTGTAACTCGCTCTACGTGGGGCTGCCCTTGAGACTGACCCAGAAACTCCAGCGGGTGCAGAATGCCGCGGCGAGACTCCTTACGGGGTCTTCGCTGCGAGATCACATTCATCCGGTACTATACCAGCTGCACTGGCTCCCGGTGGAGTACAGGATCAGGTTTAAGGTGCTGGTTTTAACCTTTAAAGCCCTATACGGCCTAGGACCCTCGTACCTACGGGACCGCCTCTCCTGGTATGCCCCACAGAGGAACCTACGGTCTGCAAATAAAAACATCCTGAAGGTCCCAGGCCTCAGAGAGGTTAGGCTGGCCTCAACTAGAGCCAGGGCTTTCTCGGCTGCGGCTCCAATCTGGTGGAACGCTCTGTCACAAGAGACTAGGGCCCTGACGACTTGACATCTTTCCGCAAGGCCTGCAAGACAGAGTTGTTCCACCAGGCCTTTGGTCAGGGCCCAGCCTGACTCCCTCCTCTGGCAACCTGCACAGAACTTTGCTTAACGGTTGCCATTAATTTGATTTTAATTAATTTTTATAATGAAATGTTTTAGAATGTTGGATTATTTGATTGTTTGATTATTTGTTTGTTGTTAGCCGCCCTGAGCCTGGCTTTGGCTGGGGAGGGCGGGATATAAATAAAATTTATTATTATTATTATTAAAGTGGGAAACCTCCCATTGTCTCTTTCCTCACAAATCCTGTCCTAAGGGCACATTTAAGATATGAATAGGGTGTGAGCCTGTGACATGGCCCAGGAACTAAGTATTTATCATTACAAAAGACTGGCCAGGCTACCCAGGCAATCCAATCAAGTAACCTGCCAGACAGGAGAAAAACAACGACAGAAGAAAAACAACATTCAAATTTCTGTTTAGACCGCCTTTTCTGTGATGTAGGTATGATGTATCTGAGGGGTGGTCTTAGGTTACACCCCTTCTGTGATGTATGTATGATGTTTCTGGGGTGGTCTTGATCTACAGGGTGGCAATTTCAAAAGTCTTTATAAGGCCTTGCACGCCATTTTTCTGGGTTCCTCCTCTCTCCTGCGGGTGAGGGGAGCACCCTGTTGCAACAGATGAATAAAGATCAAGCTTACTAGCTGCTTTGTTTCTCAATATTCTCTGGCTGGCCTCTGTTATTCTCTCCTACCAATAGGGAACCTATGTAAAGACTCTATATGGGCTCTTGGATACCCCATAAGGGAAAAGGGCAATTTTTGTTTACAACATCATCTTGCAGAAGTGAATCCCACAGTTTAACTATGTACGGAGAGAAGAAGTACTTTCTCTTTGAAGAATTCCTTTCGTTTTGCCTCTTCTGAATCTCCTGCTGTAGAGGACCCAAGGCAGATCCTCCAAAAATAGCCTCCAGGCTCCTTGTTTGCTGGGGTAGGGCTTTAACGTCCATGGCAGACAGATTTCATTAGCTTAAGCTACTCCTCCCAGCATTATTGCTCGTAAGTCTTTTTATAGCAGAAGTCCCTGGGGTTAATCTCACTTCCTAACGCTCCACTCCTCCAACAGGCTAAGAAGAAACCAGGCTCCAAACTGTGTTCAGAGGTGCATGGGCAGCTCTCACAGCCCAGCCTGGGAAGGGAAAATAAAAAAAGCAACAGAGCTCAGGCACTGCCTGTGCCCTGGCTGGTGCCAGATGACCTCATCTTCCATCAATGCACTGCCACGAGCTACAGCCAGGGAGGAAGGGATGGCCATAGGAATCTGAGATGTCGCTTCCGATCTGACTTGCTCCCAGACAGACAGGAGTACTTAGCTGCCCTCTGTGTCTCTCTGCCCTGCCTTTTGGACAATTAATGCAACTGAGAGCCAGGTTCCCGTGGAGTGGAGTGGCCAAGTTACTACAGTGGTACCTCAGGTTAAATACTTAATTCGTTCCGGAGGTCTGTTCTTAACCTGAAACTGTTCTTAACCTGAAGCACCACTTTAGCTACTGGGGCCTCCTGCTGCTGCCGTGCCACCGGAGCACGGTTTCTGTTCTCATCCTGAAGCAAAGTTCTTAACCTGAGGTACTATTTCTGGGTTAGCGGAGTCTGTAACCTGAAGCGTATGTAACCTGCAGCGTATGTAACCCAAGGTACCACTGTACAAAAACAAGAACAACACTGAGCGTCTTCAGTGAAAGGAGGTGGCTGAACAGAAATGCATTAGCAATCAGCAGGGATGTGTGAATGCGAGAGTTTTGCAAAAGGGTAAGGGAAAAAAATTCAGAATCCAGGTTCCAGAGAATCCTTTTTTTCCTGCTCAGTGAACCTCTGAGTTGTACTGAATTAACTTTTACTCAGAGTTCCAGGGGTCAGCAAACTTTTTCAGCAGGGGGCCAGTCCACTATCCCTCAAACCATGTGGTGGGCTGGACTATATTTTGAAGGGGGGGAATGAATGAATTCCTATGCCCTACAAATAACCCAGAGATGCATTTTAAACAAAAGCACACATTCTGCTCATGTAAAAACATGCTAATTCCCGGACTGTCCGCGGGCTGGATTTAGAAGGCGATTGGGTCTGATCTGACCCCCAGGCCTTAGTTTGTCTACCCATGGAATTGACTCATCATACTTAATGGGCATTCATTTCAATTGGTCTAAAAAGGTTAGTTGAATACAACCCCAAGTTTTCATTTAAAAACAACCCACCTTCACCACCAAGTTTCTAACCCTTAAAAGGCTGGGAAAATAATATTTGGCTGTTTTGAGGGTGGGCAACGTCCCAGAAATTTCAGAAGCCAAGTAGAGGTGGTTTCAGAACCTGGCATTCTGGGACAGATGCCAGGGCCACAGCAGGAGAGCTGTTAATGCCTGCTCTGGGGCTGCCTTTAAGGGAGGGTAAATTCATGCCCCAATGCTTCAAGCAAACCTGCAGCTGAGGTTGGTGGGAGCAAGAGTTCAACAACAACTAGATCTACCTTCCCTGATCTGCTTTGGACTCCAATGCCCATCAGCCCTAGCCAGCATTGTCATGGTCAGGGATGATGGGAGCTTTCATCCAAAACCCCTGGAGGACCAGTGTTAGAAACCCAGATAGGTATATATGTTAACCACCAAGCAGCACCTTAAACCTAGGTTATGGTCACCCCAACAGAATGTCTAGGCACCATTCCCCTGGGATGAAGTTTTCGTTGTTGTTGTTGTTGTTGTTTATTCATTTCATTTCTACAGCACTTTATATTTTAAAGAAAAAATCTCAAAGCAGTTCACAACACATTAAAATATCAAATAAAACAATCCAGAATACTGTAAAACAAAGTCAAGCATCAAGGAAAACAATGTGGGGAGCAACTTTTAAAACCTCAGAAAGCGTCAGGAAGATTATCCGCGAGATGTTCAGCAAAACTGGAGCATGTGTGATTACATAGCTTCCAAACATGTCCATCATGGTACTTTGTGAATTGCCTGTCTCGAACCGCCATCCATAGTCAGACACATTTAATTTCCCTGTCCAGACACTTTAACTACCCCGTCTCCTTCTCCCTCCCAGATCTGTTCTTCTTACTCTTGCCCAAATCTGTTCTTCTTACTCTTGCCCAAATTCTCTGATAAGCAAAAGACCCCCATTTGACAGTTCCCATCTTCTACTGATGAGCAACTTCCTCCAACCCAGTTACAGAGCACTTGACACATTCCCAGCCCATTGAGGGGTTTCTGAGATTCCTGGCTACATCTTCAGAGGTGGCTGCTCGAGTAAAATACAGTCTGAACACTGCTGTTCTGTCCACCTTTTGGTTTAATAATGTATAATTTGACATGAGCTTCATTCACAAAGCACGGTTTCTCATTCATAAAACATATTATCTCTCATGAAAAGGTTATGAATTGAGCTTCTCTGGGCGGGGGGGCGTGCAGCATTCACCCTCAATTTACAGCAGAATCAATTAATTTCCCTGGTGTGTTCCTAACAGGACAGGCATTAAGTAGGTCTCTGCACAGCTCTGCAAGCCGCTTACTATTTCAAGGAAGAGGCTAGAGCAGAGGAGAAAATCGACAGCGTACAAAGGAAAAAGTGAGCTTTAAAGGTCAAATCTCCTGTCTGTGAACTCCTGCTACAGTTTCTGTGACAATGGAACTCCAAGTCAAAAGGCGGGATATAAATACCTTAATAATAAAATAACATGTTCATTCCAGGAAGCTGTCTTTTTACAGTTGCTTTTATACTTGTAATTTTGATGTCTGCCTTTATTTGTTTGTGGACTGCCTAAGCAGTTCTTCTGGAAATGAAAGTGGTATATAAACCCTTTTAATCATTAACATCTGAAGCTAGACAGGCCAGTGACCTGACTTGGTATAAGCTGGCTTTTGATGTCGCTACAAGTCTCAGGTTCAATCCCAAACAATTCCAATTACAAAGGACAGGTAGAAGGCAATTGTCATAGGAGAGAGAGTCGCACCAGAAATCCTTCAGAGCTGCTGCCAATCTGAGTATGCGTTATTATTTCTTTTATTTATTATTGACATGTCTAAGCAGCCCCAGAGCGAAAGGTCTCTGGGCAGTGGTGTAGATAAAAATGGCTTAAAATCTCATGTGCCCCCTCCATGGGAGATCTGGACGAAAACAGGGCCTTTTTAGCGGTGGTTCGCCACTCACAGAATGCTCTCCTGAAGGATGCTTGCCTGGCGCCATCATTACATATTTTAGGTGCCAGGCTTTTCTGCTAGGCCTTGGGCGAGTGGGATGTTTTAATCCTGCCTTGTAAAAATACAGTTGATTAAAATTTTGTTTTTGTTTTATGCTTTTTGTAATAATAATTTATAAAGGGACTAGTAAATTTAAATAGCAACAACTATAATATAAAACAGAGTAGATTGTACTAGCCTAGATGAACAAGAAGCCTGGTACAAGGCAGTGTCATATCCTACATGTCGTCTGTTCCTTTTGAATTAAGGTGCTGGAGGAGACTCTTGAGAGTCCCATGGACTGCAAGAAGATCAAACCTATCCATTCTGAAGGAAATCAGCCCTGAGTGCTCACTGGAAGGACAGATCCTGAAGCTGAGGCTCCAATACTTTGGCCACCTCATGAGAAGAGAAGACTCCCTGGAAAAGACCCTGATGTTGGGAAAGATGGAGGGCACAAAGAGAAGGGGACGACACGAGGACGAGATGGGTGGACAGTGTTCTCGAAGCTACAAACATGAGTCTGACCAAACTGCGGGAGGCAGTGGAAGACAGGAGTGCCTGGTGTGCTCTGGTCCATGGGGTCACAAAGAGTTGGATACCACTAAACAACCAAGGGTCCTCTTTAGGGAGTCCCTGCAGAATAAAAAGGTTGCTCCCACACCCATTGGTGCTCCTTTATATTCTTTTCCTTTCCCCCATTCTGACTGCAGGCTAAGAATGTTTGTGTCCTTTGATTAGCTACTGTTTAAAAACCAGCTCATTCCATTTGGCCCTGATAAACAAACCAGCAAACAATAGAAAGGGGGAAACATATCTTCTGGCTGGGATAAGAAACTATTGTCTGCTTGCAGAGGGAAGGATTGCCTAATGATTAAAAGAATACTATGTGTCTGCATCGGGACTGTTGGGTCAGAACCAATCCCCAATTATCACTTCACTCACTGTCAGATGAGAAACACAATCATGCCCCCATGTGTGAGAACAATGTGTCTGTTTCCCAGAATCAGAAGTGCCTGGGGAAAAACAGGATTCCTTTAAGGCTAGAGAAGAGGGGAAAGTAGACAGCGTGCAAAGGAAAAAGTGAGTTTTAAAGGGCGACTCTCCTGTCTGTGAACTCCTGATACAATTTCTGTGACAATGGAACTCCAAGTCAAAAGGTGGGATATAAATACCTTAATAATAAAATAACATTTTCATTCCATTCATCTTGCCTGGAACTGGAATAGCCCCAATTCCTGTTGCCCACCTCTCCCTTATGTTTCATGACCCCCAAATAAAAGCCCAAATCATTGCTAGAGAGTTTTGATTCGTTGGGAAGAGTAGCATTTTCTGTACTCTTGACTCTAAATCGCTTGGCAGAAGGAATGAAAATTATTTTTGCAGGGGCATCACTGATTGAAGGTGGCTTAGGTCACATTCACACCATACATTTAAAGAACATTTTACGCCCACATCTTCCTTCAAAGAACCCTGGGAATTGCAGTTTATCCCTTGCAGAACTACAATTCCCAACAACCTTGACAGGCTACAGTTCCAAGGATTCTTTTGGGGAAGCAATATACTTTAAATACCCTGTGGGCCTGATAGTAAAGTAAAGGGTAAAGGGACCCCTGACCATTAGGTCCAGTCGTGACCAACTCTGGGGTTGTGGTGCTCATCTCACTTTATTGGCTGAGGGAGCCGGCGTACAGCTTCCGGGTCATGTGGCCAGCAGGACTAAGCCGCTTCTGGTGAACCAGAGCAGCGCACGGAAACGCTGTTTACCTTCCCGCCGGAGCGGTACCTATTTATCTACTTGCACTTTAACGTGCTTTTGAACTGATAGTTTGGCAGGAGCAGGGACAAGGTCGCAGGGATTCGAACCGCCAACCTTCTGATCGGCAAGTCTTAGGCTCTGTGGTTTAACCCACAGCGCCACCAGTGTCCCATCTGCCAAATATCAGAGGCTGCTCCCCTATTCACCCCTATATTTTGGTGTGGCGAGTGAGTGGGGGACCTTTATCACCAACGAAGGGGGCTGGATGGCCCAGAGGTTGCCAGATGTGGAACTAGAATTTTAAAAAGGAAAGAAGACAAGAGGACAGACTGCACCAACAGCAGAATCCACTGGGATTTTCATTCATGCAGAATCCGTTCTAATCCCTTTCAGCTACATACATCTCTGCACCTCCACCGTCCTGAGTTCCGGGTTGTTGTTTTTTTTCCTCCTCCAACAAAGACTTAGAAGTGCTGACTCTGCCCTAAAGTGCTAACAAGAGAGGAGGCAGATAATGCTTAGCTCACTGTTGGGTTCAGGCCCGTATCCATCACAGCCCTGCAGTAAGCATTTAAACAGTCTCCTCCCCACTGTCACCATCAATCAGAAATATAAATATGCTGTGTTCTCTCCTCCAGCAGTTGCCTTAGGAACCAGGTAAAACTGTGGAAGAAAAAATCCCCGATTCTGACCACACAAAGGAGCATTTCCAAGTGTGGGGAGAGATGTTACAAGGAACATATGCCCTCAACTTCCTCATTCTATTGCTAACTTTTTTTTTTATCCTGCTCTCCTTTCAAGTTCGGCATACTGTACATGATTCCTTCCCATGCACGCACGTTCTGTCCTCACAGCAACCCTGTTAAGTAGGCTAGGCTAAGAGGGAGCTGTTGGCCAGCAGTCGGTCAATGAGGTTCAGGGCCAAGTGGGATTCAACCCCAAGTCTCCCTGACCCAAGTCCAACAGCCTATCCACTAGAAAAGGAGTGAGCAAAACTCAGGCTTGGAGAATATGCTTTGTTGTTGTCATTTTTACTATGTACCCAAGGTCCACCCATGGGAAACTGGAGGAAAAGAAATGCATATAAAATTAAATAATTCTGAGCCCAAGTGTTTGCTCCACGTACCAAAACTGAATGGCGCTCACAGTCCTTGCAAACAAAAAATCCCAAGTTTCCTTTCAGCAGTGTTAATCGGGAGTCATTTGGTTGCTACTAGTACTATAAGCAATTAGGAATCTGACTCCTTGCAGATGAGGTGATCACCAGCCACTATCATATTCACAGCCTCGTCTGCACTATACATTTAAGCTGCATCATACCACTTTAATTGGTTGTGGCTTTCCCCCAAAGAACCCTGGGAAGTGTAGTTTGTTGAGGGTGTTTGTTGAGAGTCATTAGAAGATCCCCTACTCAGTTAACAGAACCACCATTTCCAGAGTGTTTTAACAACCAATCCCTCTTCTCAGGGAACTCTGGGACTTGTAGCTCTGAGAATGGAACTAACAAATTACAGTTCCCAGGATTCTTTGGGGGAAATCACGACTGTTTAAAGTGATAAGATAATGCTTTAAAATGCATAGTGCAGATGGGGCCCAGATCTGCCCTCGCCCCATCGCTGAACTATATTATATTGGCTGTCCAAGGCCTATTTGCCATGGTTAGGGCGTAAGAAAAATATGATGCTTACATCCCAATCCTGAAAGCAATTGTTTGGAATTACTTTTCAATGAGCTTACTAGGGAAGAGCCACAGTTCAATGGTAGTGCATCTGCTTTGCATGCAGAAGGTTGCTGGTTCAATCCTCAGCATCTCTAGGTATGGCTGAAACCCTGGAGAAGCTGCCAACCAGAGTAGACAATACTGACCTAGATGGGCCAGTGATCTGACTCCACCTAAGACAGCTTCCTGTGTCCCTATGTACTTATTTGTTTATATTCCACTGTTTCTTCAGGGAGTTCAAAACACTGCATCTTCACAAAGAGCCCTGCGAGGTAGGTTAGGCTATGAGAAAGCAACTGGCCTAAAGTCATCCAAGGCACACTCCGGAAAGAGGTGACATTTCATACTCAAGGCAACTGGGAGCTCCTCCATGGTGAGCAGAAAAGGAGTTGCATTATTTTGCAAGAAGTAATAGTTTTTAGTTTCAGACCATCACTTTGGCCCAACTTACACGTAAAACTAAATCAAACCATGGCTTAGTGCAAGCCAGCAGGTTCCCTGACTGAAGGGACTTTTGTTTTTATTGTGCATTTCGTGTTTTCATATTGTGATTTTATGTTGCAACCTGAGACCTGCGGGTATAGTGCAGTATACAAATGTAATGAATAACCAATAAATAAATAAAAGATCACTGCGACAATACTCCTCCCCAATGCCGCTGCCCTACAAGGGACGAAGCCATGGTTTGGCATATTGCTAAAACCCAGACTTATGGTTTGTCTACCCTAGATAAAGCGGTACGCCAGGAACACACCTTGGTTAAAGTGCATGGTTTGTCTGGAGCAAGACAAACCATGGGGCCAAGGTCTGGATGCAACATTAAGCCAAACCATGGTGCCTTTAAAGCTATAGGAGCCTCAGTCTGGAGGTGCACATCTAGGTTAAACTTCCAGACAGCGGCTTCCAAGTAAGGGCTGGGGGAGACTTCTGCCTCAAAGTCCAGAGAACCATTGCCAGCCAGTGTTGACAAAACTGAGCTAGACAGAGCAATGATCTGACCGGTTATGGAAGCAGCCTCCTATGTTCCTAAGCTCCTTTCGGAAATGAGTCACTGCACTGATCCAGTGTCTTCCACATCCCCACAAAAGCCTACCGACATCTTGCCCACAAGCACCCAAAAGGACCCTTGGGAGATTTATTAGGAAGTCCCTTAAACCAAACATGCACACGTACCTAAGTCCTGGAAATAGGTTGGTACAGAAGGAGAACAAAAATACATCTCTAGCACCAAGTTTTAAGAAAAGAGGTTACTTATCCCCAAGACAACCCTGAAAGCCTAGAGCAGGCCCCCTTAGGCTCTCCTTTCACTTTTGATTTCCACAGACCAATTCCCGTGGGAAAATATGGCCCCTATTTTCCCACATTGCAAAATGTTAGTCTGATGATCCCCAAATCAAGTCAAGGTTCAGAGGGTGGGGGAAGAGAGCACAGCCTTACTCTTTGTGTTGATCCCACTAGCTATTGTTTGTAAAATGTTACTGAGGAACGATACAGATAGGCTAAAACTGGGCGAGTCAGAGGCTTGTGGATTTCACTAGCTCCCTTTCCCTTCCCCCACCGTTTCCCTCCACAATTTGAACACAGGGCCTGCTTCTCTAAACTTCATAACCAGGTCTTCGTCTTGGAGCTTGCCAAGGCTAAATCCCCCAAAACACAGGCAGGGAGGAGAAGAACCATAACAATAAAGCCAGGATTTAGCGCCGCCCTCCGCCCCTGGCGAATCCATCATTGCGCACAGAGCCTCTCGAGCATGTACAGAGCGCTTTTCCCTAACCCTAACCAAACCGCATCCCAACCCAACGCGTAAACATGCCCTGCTTGTGCGTTCGGCTGATCTTTTCAAATGGGCATTTCGAGATTTCACGGCGCTTTAACGCGAGTTTCGTGGAAGGATTTGGTCGGCAGCGAAGGAACAAATCGAGAGGGGCTGGGCTGACAAACGGATTTAAAGCCAGGGCAGCTTCGCCTTCGAGGCGCCCCGCGCGCAATTTAAGAAGGGCTCCCCACCCATCACATCCAGTAGCCAAAAACCAGGCAGGGAAGCGAGAGAAGGGAAGGGGAAATCGGCGTTGCCTACTCACCGCTGACAGCAACCAGCAGACAGAAGGCGAGGAGAGGCCCCAGCAGGAGCTGCGAGGAGCTGGGTCCCTTCATGGTGCGTCGTTCCCCTGCGGGGCTGGGCTGGGCTGAGCGCGCGTCCTGCTCCGCTCAAGCTCAGCAAGTTCTGCCGCCTGTTTGTGTTCCTGCTCCGCACAGGCGAATGACTCAGTGCAGCCCAAGGCAGCGAGCAAGCCCGCCCCCTCTTTCCCTTAAGGCTCAGCCTGCCAATTACGCCCCGCCGCCACGTGCTCCGGCTGTCGAGCCAATGGCGAGCGGCGTCGGAAGCAGCGGGAGCAACAGCAGCGCAAAGGAAAGCCATTTGGCCCATTTGGAGGGATGGGTGAGCGGACCGGGATGGGCTGCTGGGCGCCTAGACGCCAACATTTGGCTAAGCGCAGTCGTGCTTGAAATAGGGTTGCCACCTTTGTTCTGGTATAACACAGGACAGGGTAGGGTGGGGGCCCCGATTTATTTATTTTCCATCTGATGCGCAGTGATTTCAAAGCAAACCATTATGATCTATTGCTTTTTATTTAAATAGTTTTTATTTGATTTTACAAATTTGTTCACATTCCAAATCACAAAGAATAAAAATTACACAAGATTCTTCCGAATCTTGAGACTTCCCTCCTCCCCTCCATGGGTGCTTTAGTTAACCTTTAGCTAACCTTTTCAGCTGCATATTATAAGTCACTCTAATTTTTCGGTTCTCCATTGTGTCCAAAGTCTATGTAACATTACATGAGTTATTTAAGACCTGCTAAAAAGTTCAAATGCTTACAGTAGTCTCTCAAGTATAGTATACTTTTTCCCCATTCTTTGTTGAAGTTTTGAACCTCCTGGTTTCTGATTTTCCTGGTCATTTTTGCCATCTTTGCATAGTCCAACAACTTGGTCTGCCATTCCGCTCTGGTAGGGACCTTATTGTCTTTCCAACTGCAATAGAAAGACATTATGATCTATTGCAGCCTAACAGGATGGCCCCTCTGGAATTTGTCACACACGTACAGGCACACATGAATTTGTAGATCTGTCTGTGCTTGGTTACCCAGAACTTAAATACACTCTTTCAAACACATGAATTTGGAGAGGATCCCTAACTTGGCAGAGAGAGAGAGAGAAGACTTGAAATACAGGACAAAGGTGCATCAATACAGGATGCAGCATTTTACATTGAAATATGGGACAATACTGTATTTATATAACAGGTGACAACCCTACTTAGGTTTGCCATGGCACCTTACAACACTAGCATTAATTATAATACGTTATAATACCACTGTGCTGTAGTGTTTAGAGTGTCAGACTAGGACCTAGGAGACGAGGGTTCAAATCTCCACTTGGCCATGAAGTTCACTGTGTGACCTAAAGCTAGTTGCTCACCTAACTGACAAGGTTGTTGTGGGGATTAAATGAGGAAGGGGAGAGGAACACCCAAGCCGGCTTTTTGGAGTGTTGCAGGAATTTATGTAAAGGTGGGGAGGTTGCCCCTCCAGCAGGTACCATGCACACACACCCCGACTACCAAAATCAACACAATCACTTCAGCAAATGTCCCCACAAAACACTTCGTCACAGTTTTTCCTATCAAAGCACCTCTGCTGCACATTACCAAATGTAACAATCTGGAACAACAGATACAATCTTGCTTAAAATGTATATAGGAAGTGCAGTGTAAGCGATGGAAGTCAATCAATGAAATTTTATTAATATTTTCATATTGAGATATTTGCAGAATAAATTTGGAAGAAATTATTCCAACTTTTCTTCTTTTCTCTCTCTATTTTTTCCTCCTTTTTTCTTTTTTCTCTTCCTATTTTTTTCTCTTTTGTTCTTTATATATGTGTGTGTGTGCTTATCTGAAATATGTATGTATATATGTATGTATTTGCAATATTTTACTTATATTTTGTAATAATTATGTTAAATAAATTAATTTGTTTTTTAAAAAACCAAATGTAACAATTCACTGATAAATGTATCTACATACTGGCTCACTGGGAAAACTTTAGAAAGTCATATAAAATCGCTCCAGTATGGATTTGCACCATTCCAACTTTGTTCTGTTCAGGAAAGGAATGGCTTGCGAAGGGGGGAGGCTGGGATGTGGGCAGCCATAATCCCTGAAACCTGGGATCACGTGCACAGCAGCCTCTTGCACAAGAGATAATCACTGGCATCCTGGCAAATAGGTGTCAGACAGGCAGTCATCCCACGGACAATGGCAAACCATCCAGGAATGGATTAGGTTCTTGGTCAGGACAAAGAGGTGTGATTAACTTGGCCTTGGAAACCAGGAACTTCTTTTGTCTTACTTGATGGGTGTGAGGTGGAGGTCAAGGGAAGGATGGGGACAAACCTGATGCTCAGGTTTCTGTCACCAGACCCTCCCAAGCTGTGATGTATTTGTGATGGTGTGGGTATCTTTGTAAAACTGATAAAAGTAAGAGCCATCCTTTGTTCTGGGCTTCTTCCTGCTTCTACCATGTGGTTAGTGGAAGTCCTGTTGCAAGAGTCCTTTGAATAAAGAACAGGCCTACTGGCTGCTGTTTTGCTCCTCTATTTCTAGCTGGTGTCTTTGTTTGGTAATCCAAGAGAACCCCAAAATTTTCCTATAACAGGAGGAAATGGGAAGTTAGAAACTCAATAGCAAATAAATAAAATGGAAAATGTATATAGGAAGTGCAGTGTAAGCAATGGAAGTCAATCAATGAAATTTTATTATTATTTTCATATTGAGATATTTGTAGAATAAACTTGGAAGAAATTCTTCCAACTTTTCTTCTTCTTTTTTTCTCTTTATTTTTTCTTCTTTTTTCTTTTCTTCTTTTCTTCTCTTCTGTTTCTTTTTCATATATACGTGCTTATTTGAAATATATACGTATGTATTTGTATGTATTTGTAATATTTTGCTTATATTTTGTAACAATTATGTTAAATAAACAATAAAATTATTTAAAAAAAAACAAGTAAATAAATAAAAAGGGGCCTCCAGGGTCATTGGATCAAGCTAAATGGTGGAAGATTTGGGAAAGACAAAAGGAAAGAATTCTGTTGAATTTGCTCCCACAATATGCAGTGATGGGCCCCGACTTGGATGGCTTTAAAAGGGGATTAGACACATACAGTGGTACCTCGGGTTAAGTGCTTAATTCGTTCCAGAGGTCCGTTCTTAACCTGAAACTGTTCTTAACCTGAAGCACCACTTTAGCTAATGGGGCCTCCTGCTGCTGCCGCGCCGTCGGAGCATGATTTCTGTTCTCATCCTGAAGCAAAGTTCTTAACCCTAGGTACTATTTCTGGGTTAGCGGAGTCTGTAACCTGAAGCGTCCGTAACCTGAAGCGTATGTAACCCGAGGTACCACTGTAGTTGGAAGATCAGGCTGGAATCAATATCAGCCATGATAGTGTACCACCTCCACGTTCAAAGGAAGCCTGCCCCTGAATAAAAGTGAGGAGTGTGCTTTTGTGTTCACATCCATCTTCGGGTTTTCTACAGGCATCTGGCTGGCTGGCCACTGTGAGAACAGGATACCAGGATACTGGATTAGAAGTGGCTTCGGTCTAGTCAAGCATTTTAGGCTCATTTTAGGTTCTTATTTTCATCCCAAGGACCTGATCTCCCAACATTCACAAGGCCGGTTAAAGAGACTCGAGGTGAAAAGCGTACCTTGGGAGTTTCCCTTCTATAGTGGCGCCCTCCCTGTGGAATGCCCTCCCACCAGATGTCAAAGAGAACAGCTACCACCAGACTTTTAGAAGACATCTGAAGGCGGCCCTGTTTAGGGAGGCTTTTAATGTTTGATGTAGCACAGTATTTTAATATTTTTTTTGGAAGCCGCCCAGAGTGGCTGGGGAAGCCCAGCCAGATGGGCGGGGTATAAATAATAAATTATTATTATTATTATTATTATTATTATTATTATTATACATTCGACTTTTGAATGCCATTTTTTGATTATGCACATAGCCTGTTTCAAAATGTTGGTGTGCAAGCTGTATTTTAGCCTTGTCATAGGGTGATAAAAAAAAATTGCACACTAGTTTTTGATCACAATCACTCACTGTTTGTTGAACAGGGCAGTTGAGGGTAACAACTATACACAACGTCGCATACCCTCCCTGCAAATAATTCGGAATGGATGCTCGATAAACAGCCGAGGATGTATATAACCTCCCCACAAGCTTTGTGCAAACAAATTGGGATGAATGCTCAATGTTCCACCTAACCATTAGGAAGAAATTCCTGACAGTAAGAGCTGTTCGACAGTGGAATTTGCTGCCAAGGAGTGTGGTGGAGTCTCCTTCTTTGGAGGTCTTTAAGCAGAGGCTTGACAACCATATGTCAGGAGTGCTCTGATGGTGTTTCCTGCTTGGCAGGGGGTTGGACTCGATGGCCCTTGTGGTCTCTTCCAACTCTATGATTCTATGATTCTATGAACCAGTGGTCTGGAAGCGACCAGAGAGAGAAAGGAGTGGCAAGGTGAGAGAAAAGGGGGTGGCCTGGCCACACACAACGGTCTTTGGTTCTGTCCCCATCCACATTGAGTTCTACCCTGTCCACCTTTCGTCTTTGTTGTCCTGCCCCAAAAATATTGCCCCCCAAGGAAATGTAACCTGTTATGTACTGAAGTTCTCACCCTAGGCCAGCAGGGGGATACTGTAGATAGTTATGCAAATAAGGGATCGAAAGTGACGTTCAGTGATTGGATAGTTTTAGAAAATTGTTACAGTTACATTGTACTGGAGCTCTATATAAGCGGGCTGACTGAACCCTTCAGTTCAGTTCTGTCCTGGCCTGTGAATAAACAAGAGCTGTTTGAAGAATCGCTGTGTCGTCTGATATGTTCACCCACAACCTAACATAACCCTCATCAGGAGAAAAAAATAAGTTGTCTGGACACTTGGCTGCTTATTTCAGCTTTGTCAGGAGACAAACGCATCACAATCACATATTTGAGGAAATTAAATTAGAAGAGCTTGCCAACATCTGGGAAAAGTCCCTGGCTGCTGGTGGTTTACAGTACACACAGCTCTTGGCATGCCTTTTTTTGCCCTTTGATCATGTATGGCTCAATGACTTTTGCTCCACTTTTTTATTTCCCCAAGGGTATTTCCAAACCCATGACCTGCATCTCTTAAAGCAGTGTTTCGGGCACCCTTCAAAAAATAAAATTAAAATTGGCACGTTTTACTCTCACAGCCTGGAACATGTTTGCGTGTTTTAGCTTATTCTGTCAGGTTGACCCACTCTCAGAGGCAAAAAACTAAAAAAATCTAATACAGTGGTACCTCGGGTTACATACGCTTCAGGTTACATACGCTTCAGGTTACACACTCCACTAACCCAGAAATAGTGCTTCAGGTTAAGAACTTTGCTTCAGGATGAGAACAGAAATCGTGCTCCGGCGGCGCAGCAGCAGCAGGAGGCCCCATTAGCTAAAGTGGTGCTTCAGGTTAAGAACAGTTTCGGGTTAAGAACGGACCTCCGGAACGAATTAAGTACTTAACCTAAGGCACCACTGTACATGAAATAGTTCCGTAGCTACAGGGGGCTAGCTGGGGTTTTTGCCCCAGATGAAACCTCCAGAGGTTCCTAGACTGCGTGCGCATGTACACAAATGTGCATGTGGTGGGGAGTACCAAACTGGGTCTTTGGCCCAGCTGAAATAAAGCCTAGTTTCGCCCCTGCCTAAGATCTTTACACAATTCATTAGCCTGCCGCATACCATACCAAAAACAGACTAACAAACCCGTCTGTTTCATTTCCGGTTACCTTCTCATGTTATACAGGATTTGCTGGTGTCTGATATCTACCCCCCTGTCAGCCAGCTTTTCCGAGCAGGAGACAGAAGGCCCAAAGAATGACTAGTGTTTGCCATGATAAATAGAGATAAAGACAATGGTTCCTTTCCCAATATCCCTTTCAGCTTATGACTCCCACGATGGCATCAGCTGCTAACGCAACACTTATTATTGAGCGCCTCCGTATCAAAGCCCACCCACCCACCAAAATGCAGCTATAGATAAAACCAAGGACTAACCAGAATTCACAACAGCACACATGACATTGCACACTGGGTTAAGTGATACAGTCCTCGATCAGTTGATAACTATTAGATCTTGGTGGATTCATTGTGTAAGTAGGCCGCTATCAGCTCGTGTGTTTTTCATTTCCTTGATATTGCTATCTGACATTGTTTTGATGATTGGTCTGTTGTATTTATCATGCTTTTGTTGCATCTTTCTTTCTATGGATAAGGTGTTCATTGCTTGCGAAACCTTTGAGTGGTACAGTGGTACCTCAGGTTACATATGCTTCAGGTTACAGACTCCGCTAACCCAGAAATAGTGCTTCAGGTTAAGAACTTTGCTTCAAGTTGAGAACAGAAATCATGCTCCAGCAGCGCGGCAGCAGAGGGAGGCCCCATTAGCTAAAGTGGTGCTTCAGGTTAAGAACAGTTTCAGGTTAAGTACGGACCTCCGGGACGAATTAAGTACTTAACCCGAGGTACCACTGTATATAAATATAACATGGCACGGCATTTCTGCGCTTATTGCTTCTAAATATAATATATCAGGCCCCATCTGTGCTATACCCTCAAAGCAGTATCATACCACTTTCAACAGTCATGCCTTTCCCGAAAGCAGTGTTCCCTCAACCTTGGGTCTCCAGCTGTTTTTTGGACTACAGCTCCCATCATCCCTAGCTAGCCAGAGACCAGTGGCTATGGATGATGGGAATTGTAGTCCAAAAGCAGCTGACGATCCAAGTTTGGGAAACAGAGCCCTAAAGCATCCCTGATAGTTTGTTAAAGGTGCTGAGAGTTGTTAGGAGATCCATATTCCCCTCACTGGCCTTTCCTTGGACTAACAATGAACCCAGCATGCATAACTTACCAACCCTCACTTCCCATAGAATTAAGTGCAAAATAATTCAGAGTATACTGTAACAGAAGAAGAGCTTGCGGGCTCAGTATTCTGTTATTACAGCGGCCAAAAAGATGCCCATGGGAAACCTTGAAACAGGACCTGAGTACAACTGCGCTGTCCCTACTTAGGATTCCCAGCAATTGGTATTCAGAGGCATGGTGCCTCCAACAGCAGAGTTAGAACATAGCCTTTATGGCTAATAACTATTGACATACCCTCCAAAATTTCTTCAGTGAAAATAGGGACGTCCCATTCCATAATGATAAATTTACTATTGATACCCCACACATCTTACTGGGTTGCCCCAGCCACCCTGGGCAGCTTCCAACATACAGTGGTACCTGGGTTCTCAAACATAATCCGTTCCGGAAGTCCGTTCCAAAACCAAAGCATTCCAAAACCAAGGTGCACTTTCCCATAGAAAGTAATGCAAAAGGGATTAATCCGTTCCAGACTTTTAAAAACAACACCTGAAACAGCAAGTTAACATGAATTTTACTATCTAACATGAATTTTACTATCGAAAACCTCCCAGAAACGAGAGTCTACCGCCTTCCGTGGGAGTCCTTCCCATTGTCAAGCAGCTCTTGCTGCCAGAACGTTCTTCCTGAACTTTAGTTGGAATCTCCTTTTTGTAGCTTGAAGCCATGGCTTCAGGTCCTGAGGGCCTCTGGAGCAGGAGAAAACCAGCTTCCTCCGCCCTCCCTGTGAATGCTGCCTTGCGATATTGACAGGGCTGCATGGTGTGGCTCTCATATCAATGTCCTGAGAGACAGAGAGCAAAAGGTTTCTCTCTCCCCTTTCCCCACCCCACACAGAATTGCAAGGCGTCAGTGCATTTGGCTGGTAAGAAGATGGTTGGAGTTTGGAGCCCAGCCAGGGCTGGCTGTGGGCAGGATCCTTGCATTGCCGGGGGTTGGACTAGATGACCCTTGGAATCCCTTCCAACTCTACCATGCTATGATTCCATCAAGCAGCTAAAGGAACGGGCAGGGGAGCAAGATGCAGAAGAAGGGGAGATACAACCACACACCCCAACAACACCCTCTGGCCCGACCCACGGTGGCCTCATCCCAGCACACTTTGACCCCCCCTGGTTTTATTTTTCTTAGTTCAGCTGCCTGACAACCCAGCAGCCTGGCCCCTGTTTGCCAGCTGATGTCACAAAGTGCTGCTTTGCAAGCAAGCCCTATATTGCCCTGCAGAAGGGATGCCTGTCAGATGATGGTGAGAGACTTACCGAGACAAGTCATGATGAGAAAGAACTGTGAAGGTGAGAGGAGCTCCAATGCCCAGAGGAGAGGTGTGACATACAATTATTATTATTATTATTATTATTATTATTATTATTAGCCTCATCCATCTTGGCTTGACTTGACTTGTCCACAGCTGTTGACAGCTTGGCAGGTCCTCAGCTGTGGTCCCCAGATGATATTTTCTGTTGTGAAGAACTGGTTGCTTATAAGGTTGAACCATATGGCCTTTTGATGCCTCTTAACCAGGCATAGGCAAACTCGGCCCTCCAGATATTTTGGGACTACAACTTCCATCATCCCTGACCACTGGTCCTGTTAGCTAGGGATGATGGGAGTTGTAGTCCCAAAACATTTGGAGGGCCGAGTTTGCCTATGCCTGCTCTTAACTCTAAGGCACACATCACACCTGTAAGTCACGCGGTCATTCCCTTAAAATGTCAACCTATTTTTGTATTATTTGTTTGCACCATCACTGCGTGTGACCCTCGATAAAGAGGTTCCTGCCCTGAGGGGCTTACAATCTATAATTTGACACAGGGAGGGAACAGGGAAGGGTTGAGGTCCAGGGTGGATCCTGAGTCCTCCTGGGAGACATAATAAAACAGGGTCTCTGAGATTGGGATTCTCAGACATTTCCCATCTGTAACCTCTTCCTCTGTTTTTGCAATATGGCAGTTAAGGTGATGCTATTAGAATTCCTAAGAGAATGTCAAGCAGGGAGGTAGGGGGGAAGAGAGAGAGTGGAATTCTGGTGGAGACGGAAGGTTGGAGGAGGCTTGGAAAGGGAGTTTGAATGGGGGGGGAGGCAGGTGAGAGTCAGTTGAGAACAGTGGGTTCTAGAAGGGGGGCACCTGGTGGGAGACCTAAAGCTGGGCTGGGCTTAGGATCAGTAGTCCAGTCGACATCACCATGGGCACGTAGGCAAGAGGGGCTCTGCCAGCTGCCTGGGAACAGAATTCCCTCCATTTAGGTGAGCCACAGAGCCAGGGCTTAGCTTCTTGTATGGATGCCCAGATGCCTTGCACCACCCCCTCCAAGCACCTGAGAAGCAGCTTTACAAACTGTTTCCCCAGACATTTCCCATTTGTAACCTCTTCCTCTGTTTTTCTTTTCTTTTCTGCCTCCCAGAAAAGTAGACAAACTAAGGCCCAGGGGCCGGATGCGGCCCATTCACCTTCTAAATCTGGCCCGCGGATGGTCTGGGAATCTGTGTGTTTTTACATGAGTAGAATGTGTCCTTTTATTTCAAATGCATCTCTGGGTTATTTGTGGGGCCTGCCTGGTGTTTTTACATGAGTAGAATGTGTCCTTTTATTTCAAATGCATCTCAGGGTTATTTGTGGGGCATAGGAATTCATTCATTTTCTCTCTCTCCAAAATATAGTCCGGCCATACACAAAGTCTGAGGGACAGTGGACTGGCCCCCTGTTGAAAAAGTTTGCTGACCCCTGTCCTAGGACAAGCAGGCCACATAGGCAGCTGTGGATAGCGAAAGAAGGCGAGACCGCAATGAAAGTTGTGGTATGTTAATTCCATGGGGAATCCATTCCCCACATGTGCCAGGAGGTTGTGGTGCCAACCTGAGCAAAACAGGGCTGGGGTAGGGTGGGGAGAAAATAATTGGGGGAGGGCCCATGGGAACCCATCCCCTAGAGTGGATGCTTATGCCAGGAGAATACAATGTCCTTCTTCTTTCCTACGGCCATGGTTTGGGAGAGCAGCTTAAGTCTCCAGCCAAGCAACAGCAGCAGCAGCCCAGCAGTACCAGGTGGAAACCCAGCATTTGCAGCTATGCTGTGGCTTTCTGTGGCTCTCCCATTGCTGGGGGTGGGGATTGCCATTTCTTCATGCCAGCAATGGAACAGCTACTTCTCTTTCCCCTGGCTATTGCCTTGGGGAACAGACCCCCCACCCCCCAGGAGCTGCCTCCATGGCTATGGCTTCAGACCTGCGGGAATCAATACCAGCCTACTAGTCCAAACCTAAATATTTGGGGAAATAGTTTTCCATGTTTGGGCTTCAATTTAAGCATATAGCTGTCCAGGACCTCCTAGATCTCAAACAAGGGCACGTTGCGCTTATTCTTGCCATCTTCTTCTTCTCTTCTTTAGAAATGCTGCCCCCAAAACATTAACACCAGAGCCAGGTTGAGAAATCTTACGAAATCCCCAAAGTTGACAGAAATATAATGCCTTTCAGGTTCTTTCTTTGCCTTCTTAGTCCATATTTCTTCTAATTTCTGCATCCCATGAAAACATCCTTCCTGAGATTCCAGCCAACACCAACCGGTGGTCTCAGTTACTCTAATGAACCTTAGAATAAAATAGATGCATATATTTATCTGGAAGTCCTCCAACCAATCAAACTAACTGAGCTTGTTTCTTTCTTAGGAGAGAGGCACACCAGAACAAAGGGGGAAAGGCTCACAGTTCAGGTAGGTGGAAATGCCAATTGAGTGCCCAATATTATAGGAATGTTCCCTTCCCGTGTCCCCAACCCTCATGCGACAGACTGGTGCTAGCATGGCTGGGAGCCAGGCGCCTGCTGATGTCTCTGTTTTCTTTGTCGCGAGGAAGCCTTTCCCCAACATCTTCTTTGTTCCTGCGAAATCCCTAGAGAGACATGACGACTCTCAGGTATGGGGGCAGAGGGAAGGAAGGGGTCCCTGTGAAACACCTTTTTGGGGGGTCATAGGAACACTCTCCTCACCTGTGGCTTCCAGGAGGTGTTTTTCAGAAGCATTTCTTCCTCCAGCTGGGGAAACTGAGCATAAACATCACGGCTAATTGCCTTGCATAACCCTCTGCACCATGCAATTGTCTCACCCTCTTTGAAAGCCACCACATCCAAGATGCTCTTGTGGGGCATCTGATTCTCCTTGGCTTCCTTATTCCTGCAAGGAGGCGGCTCTTGCGAGATCGGCAGTGCGATCTGGTTCACTCTCCTTGCAATGTTCCACCTGGTTCGCAATTGCACGTGTACATCATTCCTTGACAATTACAGAAAGCCTGGAACTTTGGAGCATCTAATTTGTGTGCATTTGGCTTTGTGTTCTTGGCCCAAAAATCTAAAGAATCAAAATGGGGGGCAGAAAGGCAGGTGTCCGAAACTTTGGCAATCCCACCCAGCCCTGAACTCCATGTGTTTTGAGCCTATGAGATTTTGGGTGGAGGCGCGATCTCCAGAACATAACCCCTATGAAATTGGCAGGCTTCGTCTTGAGAGCATCCACCACACCAGGCCTCTTCTACCACTTTCATGGTCTTGGCTTCCACCAAGGAATCCTGGGAATTGTCATTTGTCAAGGACCTACTATTCCCGACAACTACCATTCCCAGCACCCTGAACACACTACAGGATTGCCAGGATTCTCCATGACTGTGAAAGTGGAGACAGAAACCTTTAAACAGCCTTTAAACAGCAGCGAGGTAACCACTGTATATAAAAACATAATAAAACATTAAACATTTTTTTAAAAAAACTTCCCTATACAGGATTGCCTTCAAATGGCTCAGGGGTTGGAAAACTCCATACCCTCCAACATTTCTCCAATGAAAATAGGGACATCCTAAGGAAAAGAGGGACATTGTGGGATCAAATCACAAACCATGACGGCTTCTCTAAATCAGGGACATCCCTGGAAAACAGGGACACTTGGAGGATCTGTACTGATAGGCCTATCATCTTCCAAAAATTGATCCAGTCCTCTTTTAAAGCCCCCAAAGTTGATTGCCATCACTACTTATTGTGAGAGCGAATGCTGACAGTGTGTCAGCAGCCGTGGAGAGCAAACTTGGGCCAATGTTTACACTGTACATTTAAAGCACTATGATACTACAATTGTCAGAGTGGTTCATCAATCGATCCGTGTTTCCAAGGAACGCTGGAAATTGGAGCTCTGGGAGGGGAACAGAGGCCTCCTAACAACTCCCAGCACCCTTAACAAGGCACAGTTCCCAGAATTCTGTAGGGGAAGCCATGACAGTTAAAAGTAGCACCATAGTATGGTGTGAATGTGGCCTCTGACTCTGTCTGTGTGTACAGATAAGATAGTACAACCCACCCTGGATACCCCTGCTTTTATTCATTGACGGAGTCCGATTCCCTTGTGCATTATCCTCACACTCTTCACTCCCAGTGCTACTGAAGCTGAGTCATGCGTGAGGAATGCCAGGACTTCAGTGGGAGGAGTTGGGTCTCCCTGTCCCAACAGTGTAAGAGATTAAAGAAGCTTCTCCTGCCAATTGCAAGGGGAAGTAAGAAGTCAGAGACGATGCTGTGCCAGTTGGATAGGCCTATGTCTATCAATGCCAACTTCGGCAGGTGATGGAGGAGAGAAACCTTTGTACAGCACAAAGTCCTTTTCTTATTTCTCTCCCCTGCAAAGAACACAGAAGAAAAGGAGAACATTACAGCTTGGGAAGAAAGGGGAAGTACAGTGATTCTTCCCCCCCACCCTAGCATACCCTCCAACATGACACTGCCCCAAACCGGGACGCCATTTTCCTGTTGTTAAAACTGTTAACGGAGAAATCTGAGGGCTCCCTTGGACAAAAAAACAAGGACACCAGCCAGGAATACCAGAGCAAAACAGCAGCCAGTAGGCTTGGTCTTTATTGAAGACTGTCGCGACAGGACTCCCACCTGCCACCAGGTGAAACAAGATGGAAGCCCAGAACAAAAGAAGACCCCAACTTTTATTAGCTACTAATCCCCCAAACTACACCCCTAAAACTACATCACTACATCATTGATACATCACAAAAAGGAGGGGTTGAGGGAGGAGTTGTGGAGGTAACCTGAGTATTCTGCCACCTGGCTGGTTCCTCCTTTCCCCCTCCCCATGAGTACTTTCCAGAGTACTTTCCTTTAATTCAGCTGTCCCTAGTCCATGGACTTATCTGGTAACAGTAGCTGGGCCTGGGAAGCTGTCTGCTACAGTATTTGAAATTCCCCACAATGCTTTGGACTGCCAAGCGCAGAGGAATTATAAGAAATCATCATTTGGCCTTGAAGAGTCCTCTCGTTATGTCAGGGTGCTATTATTATTATTATTATTATTATTATTATTAAAGATTTTCTTGATTTACAAAAGTGTGTGCAATGTCCCTCTCTCGTATTTCCCCCCCCCCATGTAACATTTTTACAAATCAGTTTCATTTGTTGAGACACTAGGAAGAAAGGGGGGGAAAGGTGGAGGGGGGAAGATGGGTGGGGGTGGGGTTGGGTGGCGATGTTTCTATTTTACTTACTATATGTAGGGTTTGGTGTCAGCGTTGCTTGTGCAGGTTCTTTGCTGTTCAGAAAAATTAACCAATAAACTGAAACTGACACGGGGACAAATAGAAGAAGACACCTTCACCCCGGTATGGCGCCCCTTTATCACATACACAGCCCAACAAGACAATGACAAAAACCCACCAACAGCATACAAATCAATATGGTCGGGGCGGTGAGGGAAAACAGCTTTGTGGGTCAAACTGGGCTGATTCCACCTAGGAGCTAGGTTTTTAGGGCACACGCCAGTCGTCTTTGGTCAGGGGTTTGTGTACAGTTTCCTTTGTTGTGTTGGAGAACAGCCTAGAACAGGCATCCCCAACCTGCGGCCCTCCAGATGTTTTGGCCTACAACTCCCATGATCCCTAGCTAACAGGACCAGTGATCAGGGATGATGGGAATTGTAGTCCAAAACATCTGGAGGGCCGAAGGTTGGGGATGCCTGGACTAGAAGGAGCTGCAGTTGTTGACAGTTCTGCATCTTTGTCGAGCAGGGAAGGGACCAGAAATACAGATTGTTGCAATAACCACTGGCAAGGAGACAAAGCCATTTTGTGCCATTTTTATAAAACAACCGCAAACCCTGAAACGTTTTCCCTAAGCCAAAGACGTGGTGTAAAATTCAACCCTCTCCTTCCTGAATGTTACCAGGCCAATGTTGCCATCAGCACAGGACAAAGGTCCAGGGCTCCATTCATACCCTCCAACATTTTAATCTTAGAATCTGGGACATGGCCCCGCCCCCACACATAAGTCACATGACCCATGCGATATCATAGAGCCTCAAAACACGAGTTCTGGAGCTCTATGATTGGGTGTTTTTGGATACTCACAGAGTCCAAAACCAGAATGTCCCAATTTTATTGGGGCAGTTGACAGGTATGCCCATTCAGCACATGTAAGGCAAAAAATATTTTTAAAATATTTTTTTTTCAATTAAAAATGGGAAGGGGTGATGTTAAAGGTGAAATGCCAAGCAGAGCCTAATAATAATCTGCTGCCTAAAAATCTAGAGCTAGATCTATCCATTGCAAATTAAAGGAAAGGGTTTTACAAAAGGATCCATCTGCACTCTATCTTTAAAGCAGCATCGTAGCACTTTAAGAAGTTGTGGCTTCCCCCAAATAATTATGGGACCTGTAGTTTGTTAAGGGCGCTAAGAGTTCTGTAGGAGACCCCTATTCCCTCACAGAGCTACCTGGAAAGCAGACAAGCCCTGTTGTCATAGTCTGCAGTCTGTCTCCTCTCTTCTCTTGCTTCTGGGTAGACAACGGAAAAGGCTAAGGAGTATTGCAGCAGGGTATGGATTTGATCCTGAGGCCTCCAGTTGCCGATTCCCTAGCATAGCATAAAGCAGCGATTGTGCAGAAAAGGAAGCCAGAGAATGTGGGTGAATGTTTGTCAGCTGCCCTGTAGAGTGGTGTTTACACTCCAACAGTTATTGCAGGGTGAGCTCTAATAAAACAGACCATCTATTATTGGAAAAGTGTCCTTTCCCTCTCTTCTCTCTCTTGGGGGCACAGATGCTAGACTGAGATAAACAAATCACTTTTAAGCATGGAGCAAATGGAGTTTTGTTTTGTATTTAATGACAGGCAGATGCCAAATAAGGACATTGTTCAACAATTTCCAAGAAAATGGGACTGTAGTGGAGCAAACAGAGGAATCCCGCTGTTCCCAGGGATAATAACGGAGGCAAGATCTGTTCAAGTGACCAGGAGGAGAAAAAAGGAAATTGTTTTTGTGTGTGGTGGGAATTGGACTGGGAGAGAAATATGGCTTGTTGGCAAGTATAGATAGATATAGAACCAGTGGAAATTTTTGCTTCTACTTGACTCCTAACCATTTTTTCACAGGCCAGCCAAAACATCTACATAGGAGAAATCTATTTTTGTCCTGGTGGATTAAGCAATGAACAATAACTCCATGTTCCCTTTTTGAAGTACTTTCAGACAGTTTTGCTCTAGGGCTGTTACGAGACTTTGGAGTCCAGGTGCTCTAACCAAAGTGTTTGATTTGCTCCCTTTTGTTGCATTTGCTTGGAACATCTGGCACTTCTGTGGGCGCTAAAGGAAACCCAGATAATTTGCAGTTGGTTTGCTAGGCTGCAGCATCAGGTGCCCAGCCAACTTCTCATGCCATTTGACCGGCATGTCCTGTTTTTGTTTTGATTCCAGGTTCCAATCTGAGCAGCGGTTAAGGCTGCAAAAAGAAGGCTTGCCTTATAGTGATGCGGGAACAGAGGTCCTGTGCAGCCCTGGAGCTGCAGTTGTGGTAGAGGATCTGAGGCCCAAATGCTCCTTAAGCATCTCTACTGGAGCTCTTCCCCCATGGCACTCAACCTTCCCAGCCCACTACACTGTCCCAAGCTATCCACCTCATATTGTTGTTTAGTCGTGTCCGACTCTTTGTGACCCCATGGACCGGAGCACGCCAGGCACTCCTGTCTTCCACTGCCTCCCGCAGTTTGGTCAAACTCATGCTGGTAGCTTTGAGAACACTCTCCAACCATCTCGTCCTCTGTTGTCCCCTTGTGCCCTCCATCTTTCCCAACATCGGGGTCCTTTCCAGGGAGTCTTCTCTTCTCATGAGGTGGCCAAAGTATTGGAGTCTCAGCTTCACGATCTGTCCTTCCAGTGAGCACTCAGGGCTGATTTCCTTCAGAATGGATAGGTTTGATCATAACAGCCGTGTGACCCCCAACTTTCTCCTCCCCTCTCTGCGCCGAAGACTACGGCGCAAAACGGGCGCTGGCAAAGGGGGACTCGCCTCCCCTCCGCTTTGCTCAGGCTCGATGTTGAGGCTCTCCCTAGCATCTTCTGATCCTTGCACCCCCTCCCCACTGGAGGTGTGGCTTCCCTCCTTGCCAGAGGAAGAACTGCTTGGCAAGATCTTCGGAGACTCCCTGTAACACAACTGCCTTTCCACCTCTCGCCTCTGAGCTGATGGCAGTTCCTTGACACCTGAGATCAGTTAAGATGAAAAGCTGGTTAGAAATACACTAACTAGCCAGTTCTTGAGGCTACACTATATCTGAAAAAGCACATTCTACCCCCTTAAATGATTTTTGGCATGGCAGTTCTTCCCAGCAAGCAAGTTATTCCCAGCAAGCCTTAACGAACTACAGCGTCCAAAATTCTTTGTGGCAAAAGATGTGCTTTAAATATATAGTGCATACACAGCTCATCAAGGCCCCGCAAATTTAAGTTTTCAGATGGTAAATATAAGGATGGCAAGTCACTCCAGAATTTCCTTTGTGCTGTGCTTCTTCCAGGCTTTTCTCATTCAAGTGATCTGAATGAATAAATAATGCCTCAACTAGGCAACATCGCCTTTCTTCATTTGGTTACCATTTAAATCATCTTGCCGCTTGACCTCTCCTGCATTCAGATTCTCTAAAGCCCACGTGGCCCCATTATCTCTCTCCCTAGCAATCTTCCCCTCACCCTCCCCGCTTGGTTGCCGCCAATCTGACCTACAATGCTTAAGCAGACTAGGTCACACCGCAGTACAACGAGGTCTACATTTTATAACTCATTTATCTGAGCTCCAAGGAGATTTGCCAAGCCCTTCAAATTAAGCCTCCAGCAGCTATGTATGTGCTTGTGACATGGTGGGGGAGGAGAAGCTGCAATTTCCCAACAGTCTCAAAAAAGATTAAGTCCTATGCCTGCTACTAATCCTTCGGCTGGGACAATCAAAGCCCGCACTCAATGGCTGGTGTCTCTTTCGAGGGACCAGCTACGCATCCTAGCCAGTACTAAAAATAACCAGGTACCACCAAGCAACAAGTGCCAGGAGGATAAAAGTTTAACAATGGCATCGTATGGGATGTGGAGCCAGTAGCATACAGTGGTACCTCGGGTTAAGTACTTAATTCGTTCTGGAGGTCCGTTCTTACCCTGAAACTGTTCTTAATCTGCATGGCATCCATGGCCCAGGGCATCCTGCTGACGTCAGTCGTGGTGCCAGTTTCGGTTCTCATCCTGAAGCGATAGTTCTTAACCAGGTAATATTTCTGGGTAACCGGGTCTGTAACCTGCAGTGCATTTAACCTGAAGCATATGCAGCTGCAAGGTGACCACTGTAGTGGCCAATTCAGACGTCTCTGAGGTCTGTTCCAGCCACAGCTGCCAACTCACTAGAGTGCCTTGTGTTGCTGGAGCACCCAGGAAAGTCGCCATGAAGCGGCCTGGGCACTCCTTAAATTTGGGTGCCAGGGCAATGCACACTGCATGGCATCCATGGCCCTGGGCACCTACAGTCGCGGGGCCAATGTGGCACTCCTGCTTCAAGATAGTCACACCATGCCCCTCACAGCCACGAGTCCTCCTAAGATTATACAGTGGTACCTCGGGTTAAGTACTTAATTCGTTCCGGAGGTCCATTCTTAACCTGAAACTGCTCTTAATCTGAAGCACCACTTTAGCTAATGGGACTTCCTGCTGCTGCCGTGCCGCCAGAGCACGATTTCTGTTCTCATCCTGAAGCAAAGTTCTTAACCCGAGGTACTATTTCTGGGTTAGCGGAGTATGTAACCTGAAGCGTATGTAACCTGAAGCGTATGTAACCCGAGGTACCACTGTACAATAATCTTATAATTATGCAACAATAATAATTAGGGAGGCTGCAATACTTTGGCCACCTCATGAGAAGAGAAGACTCCCTGGAAAAGACACTGATGTTGGGAAAGATTGAGGGCACAAGTAGAAGGGGACGACGGAGGACGAGATGGTTGGACAGTGTTCTCGAAGCTACCAGCATGAGTTTGACCAAACTGCGGGAGGCAGTG